CTGGGTAGCACACGGTGGCCACAAGCTCACTGCCATGACAGGAAATTTGGGAGGGATTGCAAATATGGAGAGCCTTGGAAAAGGCTGCAAGATCTCTTGGGGGAGGTGTTTGTGTGGAGGGTCTCCCTTTCTGCAACGCCCTGTCTTTTGGTCACAAGAACCTAGGAGCTGAGAGAGATTGCTGTTTTTTCGGGAAAATACTTAAATTATTTATTATTATTATTATTATTATTATTATTAAGGAAATCAGCCCTGAGTGCTCACTGGAAGGACAGATCATGAAGCTGAGGCTCCAGTACAGTGGTACCTCAGGTTACATACGCTTCAGGTTACATATGCTTCAGGTTACAGACTCTGCTAACCCAGAAATAGTGCTTCAGGTTAAGAACTTTGCTTCAGGATGAGAACAGAAATTGTGCTCCCTCAGCGCGGCAGCAGGAGGCCCCATTAGCTAAAGTGGTGCTTCTGGTTAAGAACAGTTTCAGGTTAAGTACGGACCTCCAGAACGAATTAAGTACTTAACCCGAGGTACCACTGTACTTTGGCCACCTCATGAGAAGAGAAGACTCCCTGGAGAAGACCCTGATGTTGGGAAAGATGGAGGGCCCAAGGAGAAGGGGACGACAGAGGACGAGATGGTTGGACAGTGTCCTCGAAGCTACCAGCATGAGTTTGACCAAACTGCGGGACGCAGTGGAAGACAGGAGTGCCTGGCGTGCTCTGGTCCAGGGGGTCACGAAGAGTCGGACACGACTAAACGACTAAACAACAACAACAATTATTATTATTATTATTATTATTATTATTATTATTATTGGAATAAGGGTCTCTGTTTGCACTGAGTGGCACTTAACAGGAAGCATAAAAAGTCCCCCCCCCAAAAAAAACCCCCACCCCCACATTGTCACAGGAAGAGATGTGTCATTTTCTACTCCTGGACAAGTGTTGGGGCAGAGAGACCAAAATTCTGCACCAAGGAAAGTAGAATTCCATGGCCTGGGCAAATTATGCAAATAGAGGAAAAGCGTATGATTTTATACCAATAATTTGGTTTGCTTTTTCGAAAGCATTCTCATTTATTCTGCTTCTTCTAGTTGTGGCTCCCAGTACGTTTCCGAGCACAGTTCAAAGTGTTGGTGCTGACCTTTAAAGTCCTAAACGGCCTCAGTCCAAAAGTTATGGGCCTCTAGAAGTAGACAAGAATGACGTGGAGGTGACGACTGTTTGCTAAAAAAGCAGCGTTCACCATCCTGGTGGCCTTTGGAGACCACATAACACCGGTCTTGAAAGACCTACACTGGCTCCCAGTATGTTTCCGAGCACAATTCAAAGTGTTGGTGTTGATCTTTAAAGCCCTAAATGGCCTTGGTCCTGTATACATGAAGGAGCGTCTCCACCCTCATCGTTTTGCCCGGACACTGAGGTCCAGCGCCGAGGGCCTTCTGGCGGTTCCCTCACTGTGAGAAGCCAAGTTACAGGGAACCAGGCAGAGGGCCTTCTCGGTAGTGGCACCCGCCCTGTGGAACGCCCTCCCACCAGATGTCAAAGAGAGAAATACCAAACTTTTAGAAGACATCTGAAGGCAGCCCTGTTTAGGGAAGCTTTTAATGTTTAATAGGTTATTGTATTTTAGTGTTCTGTTGGAAGCTGCCCAGAGTGGCTGGGGAAACCCAGCCAGATGGGCAGGATATAAATATATTATTATTATTATTATTATTATTATTATTAGGGATTTTGCAGTGACCCGAAGCCCTGTCTTCTGATACAGGGAGCTTTTCTTCCGTGATTCTTCTGGCTTCCGAAACGTACTGGGCATCGCCTATAAAAGAGCACATTCTCAATCATGAGGGCTAGAAACCTGAGTGCTTTCTTAAGACCATTAGGAAGGTAAAGTCTGTACCTGCTGCCACATACCAGCTGCCCAGGCCTTCTCTGGGCACACTTCAAGAGGCACACAAGTACTTTGCATCATGATTGCTCCGGGTGCCAGCAGGTGGCACTATTGTGTAGTGTTTCCACCGTTAAGGGACACTCTGGTCAAAGGGCCCCGGGGCCCCTGGCTGTGAATCTCTTAAGACGGCAGAGAAATGGCGCCAAAGCCATTGGCAGTTCCCTAGGTAGACTCTGTGCTGTTTTTGCCCCCTGAAGGGATAGACTGCCATGTGGCCTGATTGCAGAAGTCAAATCTGTAGGATAAATGAGGAGGGAGTTGTTTCAAAAAGGGTCCCATCAGGAGTTGCCATCTACCAATCTATGCTTCTTGGGAGAAAAGCAATGACAAACCTAGACAGCATCCTAAAAAGCAGAGACATCACCTTGCCAACAAAGGTCCGTATAGTTAAAGCTGGTTTTCCCAGCAGTGATGTATGGAAGTGAGAGCTGGACCATAAAGAAGGCTGATCGCCGAAGAATTGGTGCTTTTGAATTCTGGTGCTGGAGGAGACTCTTGAGAGTCCCATGGACTGCAAGAAGATCAAACGCATCCATTCTGAAGGAAATCAGCCCTGAGTGCTCACTGGAAGGACAGATCGTGAAGCTGAGGCTCCAATACTTTGGCCACCTCATGAGAAGAGAAGACTCCCTGGAGAAGACCCTGATGTTGGGAAAGATGGAGGGCACAAGGAGAAGGGGACGACAGAGGACAAGATGGTTGGACAGTGTTCTCGAAGCTACGAACATGAGTCTGACCAAACTGCGGGAGGCAGTGGAAGACAGGAGTGCCTGGCGTGCTCTGGTCCAGGGGGTCACGAAGAGTCGGACATGACTAAACGACAACAACAATCTATGCAGCCCTGCACTGCAGGCTCTTCTAGCAGGAGCTCTCCAAGTTCTTACGGCAGAGGCTCATTCCAGCTCCCTCACCTGAGATATTTTAAGGGGAGGTGCGCTGAGGCTTGGACCTAGCAGTTTTTGCAAAAGCATAACAGCTGTGAGGCCAGGGCACCTGGCAATATAAAACCCAGTTTGCATGTTGTGGAGGATGAAAGAGCATGGGTAGGCAAACTAAGACCCGGGGGCCAGATCCGGCCCAATCGCCTTCTCAATCTGGCCTGTGGACGGTCCAGGAATCAGCGTGTTTTTACATGAGTATAATGTGTCCTTTCATTTAAAATGCATCTCTGGGTTATTTGTGGGGCATAGGAATTCATTCATGGTTTTTCCCCCCCAAAATATAGTCCAGCCCCCCACAAGGTCTGAGGGATAGTGGACCGGCCCTCTGCTGAAAAAGTTTGCTGACCCCTGATCAAGAGAAAGGAGAAAGAAAACATTGCAAACAACAACAACAACAACAACAACAGCAAGCTGAGCCTCAGGTAGTTTGGGGATGGATGAACATGAAAATAACAGGCCACAAGATAAGATATGGGGTGTGTGTGTGTGTGTGTCACACCCATTCAATGCCCCTTTTGGCAGGCCCTGCCAGCCATGTGGCGCATTGCAAACGCATTTATGACAGCATCAGCTTTGCACATCACATATCTCCTTTCGTCAGGACGTGTGGTGCCAGATTGCCAGACCAGGCCCTCGCGGGAATAATAATAATAATAATAATAATAATAATAATAATTTATTATTTATAGCCCGCCCATCTGGCTGGGTTTCCCCAGCCACTCTGGGTGGCTTCCAACAAAATCTTAAAATACCGTAATACATCAAACATTAAAAGGGACACGGGTGCGCTGTGGGTTAAACCACAGAGCCTAGGGCTTGCCGATCAGAAGGTCGGCGGTTTGAATCCCCGCGACGGGGTGAGCTCCCGTTGCTCGGTCCCTGCTCCTGCCTACCTAGCAGTTCGAAAGCACACTAGTGCAAGTAGATAAATAGGTACCGCTCCGGCGGGAAGGTAAACGGCGTTTCCGTGCGCTGCTCTGGTTCGCCAGAAGTGGCTTGGTCATGCTGGCCACATGACCCGGAAGCTGTACACCGGCTCCCTCGGTCAGTAAGGCGAGATGAGCGCTGCAACCCCAGAGTCGGCCACAACTGGACCTAATGGTCAGGGGTCCCTTTACCTTTAAGGAGCTTGAGGCAGCATTCCAGAAAGATTGCTCCCTTCTCTCCCCTTCCTCATAACAACCGTGCGAGGGCAGCGGATGGGGAGACAGAACTTGACGCCTTAGAGTGGCACCTGGGGCCTCTCCAGTCCTGGCTCTTAAGACCTGCTGTTAGGTCTGATTCTGGCTCCAGGCAGCTTCTTGTGGCCCCCTGTGGAGGGGTGGTGGTGGTGCGCCCACGGCAAAAATCAGGGTGCAGAGATAACTCGGGGAAGGGATGAGTGGATGTGATGGAAGAGGGGCAGAACCCGCCCCCTCCGTTCCCCCTTCTCCCCTTCCTTGCTCCCCTGCCCTACAGCGCGCAGCTGCCTCCTTTCCCCTCCCTTCCACCTGCTCCCCCCTCCCAGCTCTGTCAAAGCCCCCAAGGCAAAGAATAGCTCTTCTCTCTCTCTCTGTCCCAACCCGCCCCCCCCCCTTCTGCAAGCTTGGCCCAGCTCCTCGCAGCCAATCTGCTGGGGGGAAGGAGGGAGGTGGATCTCTCTCCTCCAACGTCAGGCGCTGGGTTCCTAAGCTCTGCCACCGCCACCGCCTGCCGCCCAGGACAAGCGGAAAAAGAGGGATGCTGTGAAGAAGAAGCGGGCCTGGGGGGGCTGCTTGCGCTTTCTCTCTCTCTCTCCCCCTCCCCTCAACACAAGGCGCCCCCTCCTCTTCCTCTCTCTCTCCTCTCTTTCTCTGTGCGTCCGTCCCCCCTCCAGCCTCTGCTTCTCCCCCCCCCGCCCTGCTTGACCCTTTCCCCTGATTCCCCCCACCCAAAGGGCACCTTTGGGATCTGTTTTCCAACTGGGAGCGAAGGACAGAGGGGACCTTCCTATTTTCCCACCCGCGCGCGCGCGCTCCGCTTTCTCCCCGTCTCCAATTCTCCCCTGCTTTTTGTGGGGTGCTAGTTCCTGACTTTCTTCAGGGTTTTTTGTTTTTTTTTTCCTTGGCCTGAAGGGGCGGGCGGTGGGTGGGTGGGAGGGAGAGGGTCACAGAGGAAGTCAGACAGACAGAGAGAGAGAGAAAGGACCCAGGAAAGCTGACCTGACTGCGACCCACCCACCCAAATCCATTTTGCATTCTCCTTTGTCAGTTTCACCTGGCCAGGTCGCAGGTCTTTTTGCTCCGCGCTCCCCCCACACTTTCTGGACACACCTCCCTCCTCCTTCTCCCAACCCCCCTCCCTTAAAAAAAACAAAACCCGAGCATCCTTTCTTATCTCCCCCCCCCACCTCCCCCTGCTGGAGTCTCACGGGTACCGCGGAGGGGAAGTCCTCCGCGCCCTCGGCATGAAAATGATGGCAGGAGGTTCGGTGCACCAGAACGGTATCTTCCCCTCGGCAGCTCCTCAGCAGCAGCAGCAGCAAGGGGGGCCCCAGCCGCAGCAGCAGCAGCAGCCCCCCCAAGCCCCTCCGCAGTCCCACATGGATTCCGACCCTCCCGACTCTAGGAAAAGGCCGCTGGAGACCCCCACCGAAGCCATCAGCACCAAAAGGAGCAACACCGGAGGTGAGTGGACTTGGGGGGGGGGAGGGGCTGGCAGCCAGGGAGGCTGCCAAGGGGCAGGAAGTCAGGGGTGACCAAGGCCTCCCCCCCCCCAAGACATATGCACACACTCCCGGTCCACTTCGCGTATGTGTGCACTGCAAGCGGGGTGGTCTGGGGCGCAGGGCGGCTCTAGGGATATCCAGGCACCAAAAAGCACCTCGGTCTCCCAGAGGCCTCTTCCTTCAAGCTACTTGTCTGCTGCCTCCCCCCACCCCAAAATCTGCCCTGCAAAGCAGCCCCCTCCCCGATACCTCCGGACAGCCATATATCTCCATCCTTTTCAGGCGCCTCTTCCCTTAAGCAGCCCCATCCCTCCTAATGCCAACCTGAGCCAGAATTTGCACCTCTGCACCAAAACTGACCCCCCCATTAAAAAAAAAACCACCCATGTTTGAACCCGGCTCCCTCCCCATGCCTGTCTCCACCTGTCCCCATCCACCTCTCCATCTTCCTTTTGTGGATTTGCCCTCTTCTCCTTATTTTCATTGGGGGGGTGTTCTTTGCCACACCCCAAAGGAAGCAATTTGCTCCCCTTTTAGCTCTACCCCCCCTGCAATAAAAACAGGGGGTTATCTCCTCTTTTACAACGTGGAATTCAAAAAGATGGGTGTCCTTTTCTCCCAGTCCAGCACTGCCTCTCTGCCCCGTAAGGTTTTCAGGGGATATGATTCAATCTGTTCTTCACCTTTATCCTCACAAACAGTCCCCCTTGTGATTTTTAAATTCTAGATTTTTACAGCCCAGCCGAGGGGATCCTTTGCAATGTGTCCGTCCCCCCAACTCAGAAGGCGTGTGGCAGCGGAGTGCAGAAAATATAAGCTCCCCCTAAAAATGCACATTTCTCTGCAAAGATTTTACTAGTCTATGCAGCTGGTTATGTCAAAATGGAGTCTGTTAGAATAACTGTCTGTTTCCAGGGAAGAGGGGAAAGGAGTGGAGATATTCCGCCCCCCCCCCACCGCTCACACACATATAGACTATGGAAAACCTGTCAGCCCCCTTCCTCTCCTCCCCCCCCTTCCATGACTGTCTGCTTGAGGAAATGAAGAGGGGAAGGATGTGAAAATCTGGACTCAAAAGAGGATGCAGGCAGCTGGGTTGTTGAAAAGGACACTGTTTGATCCAGGGATTTGTGGGGCGCTGGAGACAGAGGGAAAGGGGGGGGGCAGAATAATGTCAATAGAGTATTGGGGGGGGGAGAAAAAGAGAGAAGATTCAGGATTTGTGAGCATTTCTTGATTTTTTTTTTTTTAAATATATGTACGCAAAAGGGCTTTAAAAATGCAAATGGTCATTCCTGGCGCCTGAATTTCGGTTGACACTAAAGCTGTGTAAAAATAGGGATTTGCAAAAGCGGCTCTCTCTGTGTCTTTCTCTGACTCACCCATCTGGGCTCCTTTTGTGAAGGACGACTTCACTTATTCTGCTGTTTCTGAGCCGATAGCAGTAGCTGCGTGTCGGCTCTGTGCCTGCTGGACTCCTTTTAAGTATCATCATCATCCTCATTATTATTATTATTATTTATTATGTACTAATAATTGGACCTGGTTCCGTTTTTATTGCTTGCGCGTTGATGAACGTATGAAGGCGTGCGCTCTCTCTCTCTCTCTCTCTCTCTCTCTCTCTCTCTCTCTCTCTCACACACACACACACACACACACCCCATCACCCTCCAGATGTAATTAACATTTCGAGATGCTTTTGAGCTTCAGCGTTAGGACAAGAAGCAATAAATATTGCGTCTGAAAGAGCCCCGGGGTCCTCTGGGGAAATCGACCTCCTTTATGACAGCGTCGCTGATGGGACTAATGGAGCAACTGGAATAAATAAAATGGGGAAAGGCGCGGGGGGGGGGGCGGACTTATTGTTTTCTGTGTGTGTGTGTTTCATGTTTAAGAAAGAAGGAAGGAATGGGGGGGGTGGAGAGGAGAAGGTGAGCAAAAAGGAACGAAGATCTGGCGATATTCTAAGCATGCCTTCGTAGGCGGGTTGCGTTGGAGGAGGAGGCGATGGGGAAATCGCTTGGCCGGGGGGGGGTTGCAGCAGGAGCCTGACAGCCACATATTTCAGGCTGGCGCTTTGGCTGCCTTGCCCCCCCCTCCCACCGCACCCCTTTGCCAACCAATCCCACCTTTGCTGCTCAGGGTGCCGCGTTTTCTCCCCGTTTCCAAACGGTGCCCCTACCTCTCCGCCGTCGCCCCCGTTTGGGGTTCGCTGCCCGTGATGGATTTGGGGAGGGAGGGGGAAGAAGGAGAAGCATTGATGGCATTGCAGGGGGAGTGGGGTGGGGAGGAGTGTGACGGAGATGGAGGGGGACGCCTTAGTGGTACCTAGTGTGCATCGCCAAAGGACACCGATTGCCGAGGAAATGCGCAAGAGCGAAAGTCACGCAGGCCTGGCGGCGGCGGCAGCAACGGCGGCCCAGCCGGGAGGTTAGCAAAGCGCCTGGGTGCTGGAGTGCCCGCTTGTGTGTGCGTGTGTGTGTGTGTGCATGCGTGTGCGCCTCAGTGTGCCACAGCTCACGCGCGGGTGAAGGTCAAACTGGGTGGGCTGTTTTGTCCTTACAAAGTTTGGGTGTTTGATTTTCAGCCAGAGCATCCTGGAGGATGGAGAGGGGGGGACGGTACCCAACAATTCTTGCGCCTACGATCTGATTCATCCCTGCTCCTGATGGGGGAACAGGCAGGTTTTATGGAGTCCTTGGGGACTTCCACAGAGACCAGGATGTCCCCTCCACTCTCTGCTGGTGAAGCCTAGGCCTTCCCAGCTGTGGGGACGTCACCAGCCGGACTGGGCTGGCCGGCCTCTGGCTGCAGGCCTTTGTGACACACTTGACGGGTTCCCCCAGGCCTGCTTGGGTGGCTGAGAAGGGTGCCAGGCCTTGAGAGACGGGGTTTAGGGCACGATGAGGCCTAGCGGCATGCGGAAGCGTTTTCTGCCGCAATTGTTATGCGTGGCACTCTAGACAGAGCTTTCCAGCTTTGGCTTGCAATGGGCCGGGCCAGAGGTCAAGGTTAGGGCTTGGGGCGCGAGTTCAGTTCCTGCTATCCCTGGGTGACCTTGGCAGGGAGGGTGGGTGGGTGGTGGTCAATGCGTTTCTCCTTCACGCTGCCAGCGTGGCAAAAGCTCCGCGTTCCGAGCGCCGAGCATAAAATGGGTTACGACAGCCTGATGGAGCAGGGAGTCGCGTTGCCTGTCATACCCCCCCAAAAAAAATTGGCTGCAAAAAAACAGCTCCTCCCCATCCCATGCTCTCAGTGGTGCTCCAGTTTCCAAGACAAAAGACCCAAAGGGGTTCTGGGCCTTTTTTTCCAGGGGTGGGTCTGTGGCAATTTGGAACTGGAATTGAGAGTGGGGTGGGGAGCGGGCAAATGCCCTCAGGTCTACGAGCACGACAGAGACACACCTGTTCGAGTTGGTTGTCAGAAACCCAGGGAAGTGGGTGCTCTTTGCAACCCCACAGCAAGTGGGAAAACAAAGCTTAGGGAACCTGGCTCAGCTCAAAACCCAAAACCCAAACACCTTAAAGGACCATGACCAAATGAAGCAAGCAGGTCGGTGGGAGCTCTCCAGCATTTTGCACCGAGCTATTAATTTAGCAGGGACGCGGGGCTTGCCGATCAGAAGGTCGGTGGTTCGAATCCCTGCGACGGGGTGAGCTCCCGTTGCTCGGTCCCTGCTCCTGCCAACCTAGCAGATCGAAAGCACGTCAAAGTGCAAGTAGATAAATAGGTACCACTCCGGCGGGAAGCTAAACTGCGTTTCCGTGCGCTGCTCTGGTTCGCCAGAAGCGGCTTAGTCATGCTGGCCACATGACCCGGAAGCTGTATGCCGGCTCCCTCAGCCAATAAAGCGAGATGAGCGCCGCAACCCCAGAGTCGGCCACGACTGGACCTAATGGTCAGGGGTCCCTTTACCTTTACCTTATTTATTGAGCATTAATTCTGACTGGTTTGCAGGGAGGTTAGACAAAGCAGAGTCAAAGCAAGTGTTATATCCCACACATATAGCCCAGCGCAATTTCCCCGTCGCTTTTTATATGGCATGAGGTCTGATCCTTTGTGAAAGAGGGGTTTGTTGCTCATGACGTGCCGGTTAACTGTCACGGCGCAGCCTGAGTGTGTTGGTATGTGACTGAATCCCGACCCCAAAACAGCGACAGTATGGAAGCCGCTTTGGTCTCACTTGTCTGTCTGTCTTTCTGTCTGCCTCCCGGGCAATGGGAGGGTTATACACCATGCAATCCACTCTGGGCTCTTACAGAACAAATTCATTCCCTTGCGGCCAAAGCAGCTGACCCAGAGAAGCAAAGTTGTATGTTGATAAAATCACCAGGGTTGTGGCACATAGAATCCTAGAACTGTAGAGTTGGAAGGGACCACGAGGGTCATCTAGTCCAACCCCCTGCAATGCAGGAATCTTTTGCCCAATGTGGGGCTCGAACCCACAACCCTGAGATTAAGAATCTCATGCTCTACCAACTGAGCACTGTGTAGTGGTTAGAGCAGGGGTCAGCAAACTTTTTCAGCAGGGGGCTGGTCCACTGTCCCTCAGACCTTGTGGGGGGACCGGACTATATTTTTTGGGGGGAAATGAACGAATTCCTGTGCCCCACAAATAACCCAGAGATGCATTTGAAATAACAGGACACATTCTACTCATGTAAAAACACACTGATTCCCGGACCATCCGCAGGCCGGATTTAGAAGGCGATTGGTCCGCATCCGGCCACTGGGCCTTTGTTTGCCTACCCATGGGTTAGAGTGTCAGAATAGGACCCGGGAGACCAGGGTTCAAATCCCCTGAAATTCACGGAATATGGCCTTGGGGGCCATTCGCTGCCTCTCAACCTAGCCTACCTCACAGGATTGTTGTGTAGATTAATGAGGAGAGGGAGAACTATGTCTGTTCCTCGGAGGAAATAAATGCAGTCAATTTGACCAAGGAATCAATAAGTTTGGCTCCCAGCAGCTCCTCTGCTGGTACACAGGATGAGCGTCTTCGGAAAGGAGGGTCATGTCTCCCCCAGGAGACATGGTGGCAAAGGCTGCCAAGATGTTTCGTTCAGCAGTGGGATGCTCAAACTGAACGAGTGCAGCAAAAGCGTGGCACTTTATAGCAGGCGACAGCAGGGGATTGGCTGTTTGGGGTCACGTGATTCCCAGACTCCCCCAGGGCGGTTCTGGGTTGTGTTAGCATCGCAGCTTGAGGTGCTTGCCGTTTCCTCCTCCATTCAGGGGAGTCTCAGCGCCCAAAGTCTGGGGCTCCTTTGGCAGACCCAGTTTTGGAAATGAAGCTGAGAGTGTGTGGGGGAATTTGGTTGTGGGGAGGCAAGCTGCACATTTCTGAGCACAATTCAAAGTGTTGGTGCTGACCTTTAAAGCCCTAAATGGCCTCAAAGACCCAGTATACCTGAAGGAACGTCTCCACCCCCATAGTTCTGCCCGGACACTGAGGTCCAGCGCCGAGGGCCTACTGGCGGTTCGCTCCCTGCGAGAAGCTAGGTTGCAGAGAACCAGGCAGAGGGCCTTCTTGGTGGTGGCACCTGCCCTGTGAAATGCCCTCCCACCAGATGTCAAGGAAATAAACAACTATCTGACTTTTAGAAGACATCTGAAGGCAGCCCTGTTTAGGGAAGTTTTTAATGTTTGATGGACTACTGTATTTTAATATTTTGTTGGAAGCCGCCCAGAGTGGCTGGGGAAACCCAGCCAGATGAACGGGGTATAAATAATAAATTATTATTATATTATTACTTCATGGGCTGCATCCTGCATTTGAAAATAAGCGTTTGGGTGGAGCCGTGTACCATCTCGGCTGAAGCCCTGGGTAAAGTGTAGACATCATGGTTGTGAGATACAGTGGTACCTCAGGTTACATACGCTTCAGGTTACAGACTCCGCTAACCCAGAAATAGTACCTCGGGTTAAGAACTTTGCTTCAGGATGAGAACAGAAATCGGGCAGCGGCGGCACGGCAGCAGCGGGAAGCCCCATTAGCTAAAGTGGTGGTTCAGGTTAAGAACAGTTTCAGGTTAAGAACGGACCTCCGGAACAAATTAAGTACGTAACCAGAGGTACCACTGTATAATAAAAAGGTGCAGGAAAAGGCAAGCAAAGTTATCTAGGTGCTCCTAACCCCAACCAAGTTTGGAAACTTCAGCTAGTGCAGAATTCAGTCGCCAGGTCGCTCACCGGAGCAAGACGGTTTGAGCATATTACACCGATCCTGGTCTGACCCCACTGGCTGCCAATTAGTTCCCGGGCCCAATTCAAAGTGCTGGTTTTGACCTACAAAGCCTTAAACGGCTCAGGACCGCAATACCTCAAGAACCGCAAGAAGATAGAGAGCCAGTGTGGTGTAGTGGTTAAGAGCGGTAGTCTCGTAATCTGGTGAACCGGGTTCGCTTCCCCGCTGCTCCACATGCAGCTGCTGGGTGACCTTGCGCCAGTCACACTTCTTTGAAGTCTCTCAGCCCCACTCACCTCACAGAGTGTTTGTTGTGGGGGAGGAAGGGAAAGGAGAATGTTAGCTGCTTTGAGACTCCTTAAAGGGAGTGAAAGGCGGGATATCAAATCCAAACTCTTCTTCTTCTTCTTCTTTCCATATGAACCTCCCCTGACCCTGAGATCATCTTCTGAGGCCCTCCTTCGTGTGCCTCCTCCTCAAGACATCTGGAGGGTGGCAACACAAAAACGGGGCCTTCTCTGCAGTGGCTCCCCGTCTGTGGGCTGCTCTCCCCAGGGAAGTTCGCCTGGCACCTTCATTATACACCTTTAGGTGCCTGGCAAAAACATTCGTTTTTAACCAGGTCTTTGGGTGATCTGATTTACATCGTATGCCCTTTTAAAATGTGGTTTTTTTGAGGGGGGCTATTGGGTTGTTGTTTTTATTTTTATTAGGTATTTTGTGGTTTTATATCTTCATTTTATTCTGTGAACCGCCCTGAGACTCTTCGGGTATAAGGTGGTATATAATTCAATAAATAATAATAATAAAACCTCTTAGACAAGGAAGGGCGAAGCTGTGGTTCTGCTGATATCCCCTCAGTCCCTCCCAGCACAATGAAGGATCATGGGAGTTGTAGTCCGACATCATCTACAGCCCCACAGAGTCTCCATCTCTGTCCTAGAGTCATCGCCATGGGGTGCCCTGTAAAGATCTGTGGCCCTCGATGGCACCCTATTCCCTTCTCCTGGATTTTCAGCAGTCTTTTTTTAAAAAAGCTGAACTTATAAGTCCTCCTTAGGGAGGTTTAAGGAGATTTTTCGAGGCAGAATTTTAAGAAGAAATCTTGCTCTCGCCTTCCTGGGTTCTGGCTATTGAAATCCAAAGATGAGGATTAGTCTGTTTATTTTTTTATTTTAATAATAATAATAATAATAATTTATTTGTACCCCGCCCATCTGGCTGCGTTTCCCCAGCCACTCTGGGCGGCTTCCATAGAAACAAAAAATACACTAAAATATCACACATTAAAAACTTCCCTGAACAGGGCTGCCTTGAGATGTCTTCTGAATGTCAGGTAGTTGTTTATCGCTTTGACATCTGATGGGAGGGCGTTCCACAGGGCGGGCGCCACTACCAAGAAGGCCCTCTGCCTGGTTCCCTGTAACTTGGCCTCTCGCAGTGAGGGAACCGCCAGAAGGCCCTCTGCGCTGGACCTTAGCGTCCGGGCAGAACGATGGGGGTGCATTTCCCCCCAATAATATGCAATAAAAATACATTTCCCCCCAATAATAACCTTTAAATTAAAGTTAATCTTCAGGCCCACTGCCACCCAACCACGTTGCATCTCCCTGCTTTTTTATGTAACCTGTTGCCTGGAACTTCTTTTGTACAAGGGGACTGTCAACCTGAGCTTTCCTTCCTCCCCAAGGAGGAAGAGACTTCCCCAGATCAAATCCTTTCCTGTCCAGAGAGAGGCAGCTTTTCATATTTAATCTCGCCGCCCATCTACCCTGCCTGCCACGATCGCGTATTAGCGGGAGGGTGGCAGTGGAACCGGGGGGGCGGGCAGAAAAAAAGAGACTGTGATACTTGGCTCATTGTTGATCTCAGGATTTGCAGTTGCAGATCAGAGGCCTTGCAGCGGTTTGCAGCTGTTCCGCGAGAAGCTTTGCTTTTTTGGAGGGGGGGGAGAGGGGGGGAAGACAATAATCATTTTAGCTTAGACGTAACCAATCTGGGGCTAAACAATTCTACTTGCCGCCCCCTCTCCGTGTCAGCTGCATCACTCTTGATTTCAGAGGCTCAGCTGCCATCAGATCAGATGGGAGAGCAGTAGAGGCCAGGATTGAACCTGACCTACTTTTGCAAACCGGAGGGAGAGCGCGTTGACCCAGGAACTACCGAAAGGCCACTCCAGCAGCTCCCAGTCGATGCTCACCTGCTCCTCTGCTGCCCACATCATACTAATTTCTCCACCGTTTATCTAAACTTCTTTTCTCTCCCTCCCGTCTCTGGATTTTTTAAAAAAGAGGTCTCAGCAGGAGGACTGGGAAAGCCTCCTTAACCCAACCTGGTGTCATCAAGCTGTTTTGGGTGCCCTCGCAGACTGTCTCTGTTTTAAGCTGGGATTCAGATACAAACCAGCCACGTTGTGCTATTGGCATTGATTTGGAGCTCTTCTGCAACAAACCAGCTCCGCTCCACTTTTTGCTGTAAGGAAAGTGATGGAGAAATGTCCTGGAAAGTACAGGGTAACATTTGGTTTGGTGTGGTGCCATCGAACTTCCCCATAGATGAGTCAGAACGAGTGCTCAGTAAATCGCCATTCTCCCTGCAAACCAACAAGGATGAATCCTCAGTGAAGAGGTCACCTAGAAGTGACCTTGGACTACAAATCCCATCAGACCCTGGAGATTATGGGAGTTGTATTCCAGAACCTGTGAAGGGCAGCAGGTAGGCAAAGGCCTAGATCCACCATCAGTAATGGGCCAGAAGGACGAGGGATCTGACTCACTACCCAAGGCACCTTCAAGTGCTCATGTGTTAAAGCAACAACAACAACTGTTGTTGTTGTTGTTGTTGTTGTTGTTGTTGTTGTTGTTAATACCCTGTCCATTGGGCCGGGCCTCTCCTGCCACTCTGGGCGGCTTCCAACAGTATATTAAAAACACAATAAAATATCAAACATGGAAACTTCCCTAAACAGGGCTGCCTTCAGATGTCTTCTAAAAGCCAGATAGTTGTTTATTTCCTTGATATCTGATGGGAGGGCGTTCCACAGGGTGGGCGCCACTACCGAGAAGGCCCTCTGCCTGGTTCCCTGTAACCTCACTTCTCACAGGGAGGGAACTGCCAGAAGACCTTCGGAGCTGGACCTCAGTGTCCAGGCAGAACGATGGGGGTGGAGACGCTCCTTCAGGTATACTGGGCCGAGGCTGTTTAGGTCTTTAAAGGTCAGCACCTATAAAGGCTTTTTTTAAAAAAAAAGTCCCAAAATGCATATTCTGAGGGAAAATGCATACCAAAATGCATGTTTTGGAGCAAAATGCCTACAGAAATATGAATTTTCACGCATTTGAACAACAGTCACAGTATGATGTAGAAACAGGGCAGGAGAAAGTTAGGAATGTTGTTGTTTAGTCGTTTAGTCGTGTCCGACTCTTCGTGACCCCATGGACCAGAGCACGCCAGGCACTCCTGTCTTCCACTGCCTCCCGCAGTTTGGTCAAACTCATGCTGGTAGCTTCGAGAACACTGTCCAACCATCTCATCCTCTGTCATCCCCTTCTCCTTGTGCCCTCCATCTTTCCCAACATCAGGGTGTTTTCCAGGGAGTCTTCTCTTCTCATGAGGTGGCCAAAGTCTTGGAGCCTCAGCTTCAGGATCTGTCCTTCCAGTGAGCACTCAGGGCTGATTTCCTTTAGAATGGAGAGGTTTGATCTTCTTGCAGTCCATGGGACTCTCAAGAGTCTCCTCCAACACCATAATTCAAAAGCATCCATTCTTCGGCGATTAGCCTTCTTTGCGGTCCAGCTCTCACTTCCATACATCAATACAGTGGTACCTCGGGTTAAGAACTTAATTTGTTCTGGAGGTCTGTTCTTAACCTGAAACTGTTCTTAACCTGAAGCACCACTATAGCTAACGGGGCCTCCCGCTGCCGCCACCACGCAATTTCTGTTCTCATCCTGAAGCAAAGTTCTTAACCCGAGGTACTATTTCTGGGTTAGCGGAGTCTGTAACCTGAAGCGTCTGTAACCTGAAGTGCCTGTAACCCGAGGTACCACTGTACTTAGGAGTAAAGATTTGCAAAACTGGCACGGACTGGACATGAAGCTCCCATCTCACCCTCAAGAGCCAATTTAGACCTGAGATCTTGCCTCTCGCCCAACTGGCAGGGGGTCTCTCCACTGTCTGAGGTTTTCTGCAGTTGTGCTCATTGGGCCTTTATGAGGCGATGTCAGGAACTGGATCTGGGACCTTCGGCAAGCAGAGCAAAAGCTCTGCCACTGAGCTAATCCGCCTGCCTCAATTTCTGAGCGTCAGCGGCTGATCACAACCAGACAACCAGATGCCCGTGGAAAGCTTGCATTCCGGGCCTGAGCATAACAGCACTCTCTTGTCCTGCAGTTTCCGGCAACTGGTATTCAGAGACGCGCTACCTTCCACACTGCAAATACATAGGAAGTACACTGAAGCTATTGGGTCAGCCCATTGGTCCATCTAGCCTAGTAGTGTCTTCATGGACCACTAGCAGCTGTCCAGGGTTTCAAGCTGGGAATCTTATCCCAGCCCTACCTGGGGACGGAAGTCCCACCTCTTCCCTCGTGACACAGAGTTAAAGGCGGAGCCATACCTGGCAGGTGGATCTTGTGCCAGACAGGCTGATCTTGCAGCTGGGGAGTCTGGCTGTTATGTACTGAGTTGAATAGGATCCAAAATGTAGCAGTCTGATTGGTCCTAGAACAATAAGGTCCAGAATGCAGCAGTCTGATTGGTCCACAGGAGTCACCCAATCCAGCTCCAGGTGGAAGTGAATCCGCAACCTGATTGGCCTACAGGAGACTCCTGGAATTAGCCAATCACGTGGGGCCCATTGTGTAAATACAGTGGTACCTCAGGTTAAGTACTTAATTCGTTCCGGAGGTCCATTCTTAACCTGAAACTGTTCTTAACCTGAAGCACCACTTTAGCTAATGGGCCCTCCTGCTGCCGCCGCTCCGCCGGAGCACGATTTCTGTTCTCATCCTGAAGCAAAGTTCTTAACCTGAGGTACTATTTCTGAGTTAGTGGAGTCTGTAACCTGAAGCGTATGTAACCCAAGGTACCACTGTAATGTATATATAGCAGACATTCTGGGGGAACTTCCATTCCTCCTCACCACTATGAGCTGAATAAAGAGCATGAAATTCATTCTCCACTCCGAGTATATTTCACTGGCCCTCGCCACGTGTGAAATGTTGGCCTTGGAGTCTTGGGTTCAGATCTGTGATTTAGACACATGGCTGGTTGGATTTAATTTGCTGTTGGTGTGCTGGTCGCCCCCCCCCCATTTACATTTTAATGGTGGGCGTCACATTTAGCCTTTCTGCTGCTCCCAATTTAAGCACCGGGTGTTTTGCTACACATATGTTGAGCGTTCGACAGTGACGTTTTTGAATGGCCTGTGGTTCGAGATGGGAGCTGCTTGGCCCTGGAACTGGGGACTAAGCTTGATCTCCCCCACCCCTTCCTTTTCCTTATCTGCATGGTCGCCCTATTTTTATTGTAAGTACTTATGCGCCCTCGCCTTACCGCTGGCCCTGGTCTGGCGCTGTCAGTGGCTCTGTTTTGCCCGTCTATAAAATGGGTATTATAAGGCTCTGCCTAACAGAATTAAGCCTGGTGAACTTTCATCTTTTGAGAAACAGTGAGATGAATGGTTGAGGCCTGTCTTGGAAACCCTGCTCCAAAGCTGTAGAACAGGTGTGTCTAACACATCCAGCCTGGGGACCATATCTGGCCCCACCAAGACCTCACTGATTTTGCTGCCAGCGGTAAGACTTCCTTCCTTCCTTCCTTCCTTCCTTCCTTCCTTCCTTCCTTCCTTCCCTCCCTTCTTCCTTTCCTCCCTCCCTCCCTCCCTCCCTCCCTCCCTTCTTCCTTCCTTCCCTCTCTCCCTCCCTTCATCCTTCCTTCCTTCCTTCCTTCCCTCCCTCCCTCCTCCTTCCTTCCTTCCTTCCTTCCTTCCTTCCTTCCTCCCTCCTCCCTCCCTCCCTCCTCCTCCCTTCTTCCTTCCTTCCTTCCTTCCTTCCTTCCTCCCTCCCTCCCTCCCTCCCTCCCTTCATCCTTCCTTCCTTCCTTCCTTCCTTCCTTCCCTCCTCCTCCCTCCCTCCCTTCTTCCTTCCTTCCCTCCCTCCCTCCCTTCATCCTTCCTTCCTTCCTTCCTTCCTTCCTTCCCTCCCTCCTTCCTTCCTTCCTTCCTTCCTTCCTTCCTTCCCTCTCTGCCAGCCCAGTTCCCTGATCATGATGAAATCACTCTAGTCATCAGATTGCTGATTTGATGACTCTGTGTGTGTGTGTGTGTGTGTGTGTGTGTGTGTGACTGGAGGTGTTTAATTCCTTCTGCATGTGCCATGTGTCTATGTGGCCCCCAGAGGATTAGCCAAGGGTGAATGTGGCCCTCAGGCCAGAAGAGGGTTAGACACCCCTGCTGTAGGGAAAGTCTGATCCGGAAGTCTTTGGTGAGCCTGCTTCTTTAGTAAGAGCCCGCAGTACACAGGACTACAGCCTCACACTTGGCAAGAATATCCGGTTTTGACTTCTCCCTGTGACCTGCCTGATTGTCTCTGCCACATGCTGGAAGCAAACCTGATAAAACTGGGTCAGGTATTCTAAGATTCTGATTCATGCAGGCCTTGATGTTCGAGGAGTGCTAAAAGCAGAAATAGTAAGGTATTAGATATTGGCGCTTTGGGCACACACACACACACACACACACACACACACACCATTTCTCCAAAAGAGAGCACAGAACTAGAAAAAGTACAGAGAAGGGCAACAGCAATGAGCAGTCGAGGTTCCTTCCCTGCGCAGATAGTCTAAAATGTTGGGGGTCTCCTAATATTTAGCGGGGCGGGAGAGCAAAGGGGAGCATGTGGAAGACATCTGCGAATAACAAATTGTGCAGAGATAAATCATTTTTAGAACTCGGTAGTCACCAAGTCAAACCGATGGGGAGGGATTTCAGTACTTTCCCCCACAAACCGACAGAATTAAAATGCCATTTACCACTGCGAAGTGCGGTGATTGCCAATAGCCTTAGATGGTTTCTTAAAAAGGATTACGCACGTTTGTGGAAATGTGAGAGAGTGGTGTGCCTTATCAGCGTCCACCAGTCAATCAGATTTATTTGCTAAAAGCCATTCAGTTATCACAAGAATTGCAGACCTAATCGAGTTGAAAGATGCGTTTTAGCCCAGGTGTCCCCCAAATAACATTGAACTCCATGTGGTATGATCTGCTGGGCTGCTAGAGCAAATGCAGAAGCCTTATATGTAATATATTAATCCTCACCAACTAAGAGATAGCAGATTTTCTCCAAACAGCTCAGAACAAAAACTTGTCTCAGTAATCTCAGAGGTGAGGCACCTGTAGCCTTTAGGTTTGTTGGAGTACAATTTCCATCATCCCCAGTCAGTGGTCAGGGTTGATGGGAGTTGGAGTCCAGAGACAACTGGAGAGCCACTGGATCACCATCGCTAGGTAAAAGGTAAAGGGACCCCTGACCATTAGGTCCAGTCGTGACCGACTCTGGGATTGCGGCGCTCATCTCGCTTTATTGGCCGAGGGAGCCGGCGTACAGCTTCCGGGTCACGTGGCCAGCATGACTAAGCCGCTTCTGGAGAACCAGAGCAGCGCACGGAAACGCTGTTTACCTTCCCGCCAGAGTGGTACCTATTTATCTACTTGCACTTTGATGTGCTTTCGACCTGCTAGGTTGGCAGGAGCAGGGACCGAGCAACAGGAGCTCACCTCGTCGCAGGGATTCGAACTGCTGACCTTCTGATCGGCAAGTCCTAGGCTCTGTGGTTTAACCCACAGTGCCACCCGCGTCCCCATCCCTGCCCTCAGGCAATTATGTAGGGAAGAATAAAATGCACAGTGAGGAAGACCTTCCACCTCCCTCTGGCCACAGATTCTTTATATATATATATGTATGTTATGGAAGTGAGAGCTGGATCATAAAGAAGGCTGATCGCCGAAGAATTGATGCTTTTGAATTCTGGTGCTGGAGGAGATTCTTGAGAGTCCCATGGACTGCAAGAAGATCAAACCTCTCCATTCTGAAGGAAATCAGCCCTGAGTGCGCACTGGAAGGACAGATCCTGAAGCTGAGACTCCAATACTTTGGCCACCTCATGAGAAGAGAAGACTCCCTGGAAAAGACCCTGATGTTGGGAAAGATGGAGGGCACAAGGAGAAGGGGATGACAGAGGACGAGATGGTTGGACAGTGTTCTCGAAGCTACCAGCATGAGTTTGACCAAACTGCGGGAGGCAGTGGAAGACAGGAGTGCCTGGCGTGCTCTGATCCAGGGGGTCACGAAGAGTTGGACTCGACTAAACGACTAAACAACAACAACATTTTTTTGTTATTTTTTTAACATATGAATTCCAACAATCATTTAAAATAACTTCTCATCTTATACAATATTTTAGACTTCCGTCAACAACCTCTGAAGATTTTCTGTTCATTATCACTTGTTCTGCGTTTCTTAATTTCTCTATTACTTTTAATTGTCCTTAACTAATAATTCTTTCCAAATATTTCACAATATTTCACAAAGTTCTCCTTACAGAACTTCTTGCAGCCCTACTAGCGTAATCTGTTTATCACAATTGCTTTTCACATAGTTCAAATATTTACTCCAGTCCTCTAAGAATCTCTGATCCTGCAGGTTTCGAATCTCCGGCCACAGATTCAGAAGCAGAGAGCTTACAGGCACCTCCCTTCTAAATACACTGTGGGCAGAGTTTAAAATCTCAGATTGCTCAAATTGTTTTTCTTTTCCAACAGACAGTTAAAAAAATATTTTTTTGGGGGGGGGAATTGTGTACACGTGAAAACATTGGCAGCATTAAGAGAAATTCAACAGTGTAAATAAGTTTTGATGGAAGTAATAATGGAATACTGAATGGTTTAGTTTATACAGTCAAACCTCAGTTACCGAACGCCCCCGTTTTGGAACGTTTTGGCTCTTGGACACTGCAAACCCGGAAGTAAATGCTCCGGTTTTCGGACGTTTTTCGGCAGCTGAACATCCGACGCGGCTTCCGCTTGAGTGCAGGAAGCTCTTGCAACCAGTCAAAATTTGCGCCTCGGTTGTCGAACATTTCGGAATCTGAACGGGCTTCCAGAATGGATTATGTTCTACAACTGAGGTTTGACTGTATAAGTCACTAATATTTTAAGATTGTTTAAATGAATATCCTAAATTGTAAAACAGAAAATGAAATAAAAATTAGATAGATAGATTGATGATAGATATGATAGATGATAGATAGATAGATAGATAGATAGATAGATAGATAGATAGATAGAGATGTTAGATAGTTTGGAAGATCATAGTCAGATTTAGCAGAATGAGACAATGGCGAGAATTGCATTGCTTGAAGATAACCTCTTGCGAACAAAACACCCCACTATTTTTTAACATTATATATATATATGTATATATGTATATATTTTGTATACTGTCCTTCATCTGTAGACCTCAGGGTGGCTGATAGCATAAAAATACAAGCTACAATTCAAAACACATAATAACAAAAACAAGAACAAAGCCAAAACAAGTCTCAGTCGCGCCGATCAACACCTCCCTCCTTTCCATGAATTTGTCAATTCCTTTTTAAATTAGACAAATCCTTGGAAATGTGGGAGGTGGCTTATCAGTGGTGGTTGAAGCGAACCTCCATGTTCAAGGGCAGTAGGCTGCGGCGCGAGGGGGGGGGATGGCCGCCATACTTGTGCCCTCTGTGTTTTGTGATGGGCAGGCTGGGGCAGAGCTCTCTAGACAGAAACAGGCAGTGAAAGTAACTGAGAGTTGGCGGAGGACCTTCCTGGGGATTGTGGAGCTGTTGATGGGATGGATGGTAACCGGGGAAACAGCAGGGCTTCTCTCTGCTGATCAACTTGGCTTCCGCCGACTTCTAATGACTTAACTGGTTTAATCTACCCGAGAAGGAATTCTTTTAAGTGGATTTAGACAGAAGATCCTTCGGCTTAGAGAAAGGGTGGCGGGAAGCTCACCACGGCAGCCGGACAGGAGGCAGAGGTGTCTCAAAAGTAGACCCCTCTGCCTGTTGCCTCCTGCACTTAGGAATGCCTCCGATTTCCAAATAACCTGGGCCTGGGGAGCAGATGCTGCGTTATAATAATAATAATAATAATAATAATAATAATAATAATTTATTATTTATACCCCGCCCATCTGGCTGAGTTTCCCCAGCCACTCTGGGCGGCTCCCAATCGAGTGTTAAAAACAATACAGCATCAAATATTAAAAACTTCCCTAAACAGGGCTGCCTTCAGATGTCTTTTAAAAATAAGAACTAGAAACTTGCATTTGGTTGCACACTCAAATGCTTAGGGTGCCTAGTTTCTCTGCGTCTGAGACCTGGTGGCACCATATAACAAACCCTAAGGGAAGGGAGTTGAAAAACGCAAAGAAGCTCTGAATTCTAGGCTTTTAGAAGACACTGTCTCTAGGACAGTAGAAGAGCTGTTTGACAGTGGAACGGTCCCCCTTAAGAGATGGTGGAATCTCCTTCCTTGGAGGTTTTTAAGCAGGGGGTGGGACTCAAAAGAGCAGGGGGTGGGACGAAAACAGCTTTTTGCAGCCCAAGCAGGTATTCCCTTGTGGGGAACATGCCAGGATCCATTGGTGGTGATGTGGCCCAGAAACGAGAGTGAGTAGAGCAACTGTTGTTACTGTTGTTAGCCGCTCTTTGGCTGGGGAGGGCAGGATATAAATATATTATTATTATTATTATTATTATTAATAATAATAATTGGCCCAGCAAGAGGCATCGTCACAGTTCCACAGAGGGGGCGTGGAGCAGGGCAGGTGAAGGGGTGTGGCCAAAAGAGGGGCGTGGCCTCGGAAGAGCCCCCGGGGGCCAGCAAGACAGCCACCGAGGGCCGCATTTGCCGCACACCCCCAAAACCTGGTCTCTCCCACCCCGGGCTCATAAAATAGTTTCCCAAGATGCAGTGCGGTCAGCGAGGAAAAGCAATATGAAAACCAGGATTAAGCACATCTCTCAGCGGCTGGTAGCGTGCCAGAAATCATAGAAAAATGAATTGCTTAGCATAGACCTAAGTATGGCTTCTGTTTCCCTCCATCATTTATTCAATAGCAGCATTAAATATGCCCAAGGCAGAAGGCCAGAGAGCAGACTTCCCCACCCTGGTGCCCTCAAGATGTTTTGGGCGACCACTTCCATCAGTCCCGGGCAGCATGCACAAAAAAACAAGTTGAGGTTACAGCATAGCTGTCAACCGTCCCTTATTTGGCGGGAAACTCCCTTATCCCAGCGCTGTGTCCCACTGCTGTCCCTTATGGATGATGTCCCTTAAATTTCCCGGGTTTCAAAGGAAGCAGCTCCTCTCCCTCCCTCCCTGCCGGCCAGGGAGGAGGGAGGCCCAACTGTGTTGCTTGGCTGCGTTGCTCACCCAATAAGGAGTCTAAGAACAACTGGGGGGTGGAGCTTGCATGCCTTGTGCCGATCAAATCGGCCGCGTTGCCTGGGGACTCGCCTTTGCTCAGCGCTTCCCAGCGGAGAGGGGACGGTGGTTTTCCTTGCTGCATCCCCTTTGTCGGGTTGCTGCGCTGTGGGAACCACCGCTTGAGGCTTCGTTTGGCTGCTGGCTGGGCTTTCTGCCTTTGGCTCGGATGGGCTCAGAAGTCGAACATACCTGTGCTCTGAAAATCCCTTATTTGGGCTGCCGATCCCTTATTTTCGAGGCTGCTGGTCCCTTATTTTCAAATCTGTAGGTTGACAGCTATGGGTTACAGGTTGAGGTTATTTTGCTCAGTTTGCAGCAAATGCACTGACCTGCCTCTCTATATGTTCCCCTTGTATTTTTAATCTTTGTTGGAAGCTGCCCAGAGTGGCTGGGGAGACCCAACCAGATGGGCGGGGTACAAATCATAAATTATTATTATTATTATTATTATTATTATTATTATTATTACTTAGGCTTGGGAAATCTGTATGGCCCTTTCGTATTCTGTCTATATTCTGTGAAGTTCAAACAGGCTCCCACCACTCCTGACTACAGGTTTTCTTACATACCGTATTTTTTGCTCTATGAGACTCACTTTTTCCCTCCTAAAAAGCAAGGGGAAATGTGTGTGCGTCTGATGGAGCGAATGCAGGCTGCACAGCTATCCCAGAAGCCCGAAGAGCAAGAGGGATTGCTGCTTTCACTGTGCAGTGATCCCTCTTGCTGTTCTGGCTTCTGAGATTTAGAATATTTTTTTTCTTGTTTTCCTCCTCCAAAAACTAGGTGCGTCTTATGGGGGTATGTATTATTATGCGGAATGCCCTTGCATCAGATGTCAAGGAAACAGAAAACTATATGACTTTTAGAAGACACCTGAAGGCAGCCCTGTATGGGGAAGTTTTTAAGGTGTGATTTTTTATTGTTTTGTTAAATATTTTGTTGGGAGCCTCCTAGAGAGTCTGGGGAAAGCGAGTCAGATAGGCAGCGTATAAATAAAATATTATTAATATTAATAATTACAGACAGGTATGGGTGTTTGTTTCTGTGTATATGCATACGGGCCATATTGGTCGAAAGAGGAGCCACCTCAAATATCATCAAATATGAAGTATCGTCAAATATGTCTTCAATTATAGGCTGCAATAAAGTGTTAGATGAGCCAGATTTGGGGGTGAAAGGGCAATATAGTATATAGATAAATAGACTTGCACTCATACATGGATGGTGGCTAACAGATTGAGGTTGAATCCTGACAAGACAGAAGTACTGTTTTTGGGGGACAGGGGGCGGGTGGGTGTGGAGGACTCCCAGGTACTGAATGGGGTAACTGTGCCCCTGAAGGACCAGGTGCACAGCCTGGGAGTCATTCTGGACTCGCAGCTGTCCATGGAGGCACAGGTCAATTCTGTGTCCAGGGCGGCTGTCTACCAGCTCCATCTGGTACGCAGGCTGAGACTCTACCTGCCCGCAGAGTGTCTCACCAGACTGGTGCATGCTCTAGTTATTTCTCGCTTGGACTGCTGCAATGCGCTCTACGTGGGGCTACCTTTGAAGGTGATCCAGAAACTACAACTAATCCAGAATGTGGTAGCTAGACTGGTGACCGGGAGCAGCCGCCGAGACCATATAACACCGGTCTTGAAAAACTACACTGGCTCCCAGTACGTTTCCGAGCACAATTCAACGTGTTGGTGCTGACCTTGAAAGCCCTAAACGGCCTCAAAGGCCCAGTATACCTGAAGGAGTGTCTCCACCTCCATCGTTCTGCCCGGACACTGAGGTCCAGCTCCGAGGGCCTTCTGGCGGTTCCTTCGCTGCGAGAAGCCAAGTTACAGGGAACCAGGCAGAGGGCCTTCTCGGTGGTGGCGCCCGCCCTGTGGAACGCCCTCTCACCAGATGTCAAAGAGAAAAATAACTACCAAACTTTTAGAAGACATCTGAAGGCAGCCCTGTTTAGGGAAGCTTTTAATGTTTAATAGGTTATTGCAGTGGCGTAGCGTGTGTTGTCAGCACCCGGGGCAAGGCAAGTAATTTGCGCCCCCTAACCCGTGGATTTGCACCCCTAACCCGTGGATTTGTGCCCCCTAACCCTAACCCCCAGATGTTGTGCCCGGTGCGGCCGGCCCCCCCTGCACCCCCCACGCTACGCCACTGGGTTATTGTATTTTAGTGTTTTATTAGAAGCCGCCCAGAGTGGCTGGGGTATAAATGATAAATTATTATTATTATGAATATGGACAGGAAGGTGCAGGAAAAGAGCAAGAGAGAATCATAGGATTGTAGAGTCAGAAGGGACCATGAAGGTCCTCTAGTCCACCCCCATTCAGTGCAGGAATCTTTTGCCCAAGGTGGGACTCGAACCCCCAACCCTGAGATTAACAGCCTCATGCTCTGCCAACTGAGCTATCCTGGGTAGGTGGGTGGGCTCCTCCTCATGCCCTTCCACATCCCCATGTTTTCTCCTAGACGCAACTAACGCTCAACGCATTAGGTCATGCCCATTTCTTCCTGTGGGTTGAGCATATGAAGGTGGCTGTCCCTGAAAAAAAGAATAGGAAAAAAAGACAACGCTTTGGGACGCTAGCAATTGAATTTGGGACGTTCTACGTGCAAAGCACCTGCCCTGCAACTGAGCTGCGGCCCTTCCCCAGGTGGTGAATTTTGGACCACCCTAAGGGTGGCAGAGGGACGCGGGTGGCGCTGTGGGTTAAACCACAGAGCTTAGGACTTGCTGATCAGAAAAGGTTGGCGGTTCGAATCCCCATGACGGTGTGAGCTCCCGTTGCTCGGTCCCTGCTCCTGCCAACCCAGCAGTTCAAAAGCATGTCATAGTACAGTACAAGTGGATAAATAGGTACCGCTCCGGCAGGAGGGTAAACGGCGTTTCCGTGCACTGCTCTGGTTCGCCAGAAGCGGCTTAGTCCTGCTGGCCACATGACCCGGAAGCTGTACACCGGCTCCCTCGGCCAATAAAGCGAGATGAGCACTGCAACCCCAGAGTCGGCCACGACTGGACCTAATGGTCAGGGGTCCCTTTACCTTTACCTTTAAGGGTGGCAGAGATGGGGGCACACAGACCTGACTCGTGGGGTGCCCCACCCCCCAGAATTCCCCCCCTGCATGAGTCTCACTGAGCCCATTCACCTTGATGGCGCTTGCGCCGGAGTAATGCGACACGCTCCAACACCAGTGATTTGCATGCTGCATGTTATTTCAGGGAGGCGGAGGTGCCATATGGAATTTCCGCATCAAAAGCACGATCCGGTGTGTGTGTGTGTGTGTGTGTGTGTGTGTGTGATATGAGTGTGCACACATGCACACACTCACACACACCTTTGCACATGCCTGGATCTCCGGTCAGAAGGACGTCTCTCCCTTTGGGTCCTTCTGTTCTGGCATCTTTTTGAAAAACAAAAAGTGACGGGGAAGTGGAGTGGAGAGCGAGAGAACGAGAGAGACCTGTTTTCATCAAGAGAGGGCTTTGATTTAGTACCGCAGGGGACCTTTGCAATCTGGACACAGCAGCGGGTCCAAATCGCTTATCACAAGGTTTCTCGCCAGCCCCGGCATTAACATCTTCCTCAGCGTGGGACTGGGAAGCAGAAGTAGGTCAGGCCCGTATCTTGGGTAAGTTCTGCGCAGGAAAGCAACACAACCCCTCCGCCAGGGCCAGATAAAAATAGGTGCTCCCATCTGAAAGTGAGGGGGCTGCTTATTATAGCCGGGGAGGAAGTTTAGCTGGTTTTTTGTGTTTTTTTGCGATCTCAGGTTGCTGATCCTCACCACGCCGCTCAAAGGAATGGGGAGCTTTGTGTGGAATCCGGTACCGATTCCCAGTCTGAATGGGTCCAGGTTTCTTGGGAGTGTGCAATCATTATTTTTTCAAATTTGAGGGCACGCTTCAGACCGGTGGTTCGGTGAGCCCGGCATCCAGCTTCCAAAAGTTATGGGCCTCTAGAAGTAGACAAGAATGACATGGAGGTGATGACTGTTTGCTAAAAAAGCAGCGTTTACCAACCTGGTGGCCTTTGGAGACCACATAACACCGGTCTAGAAAGACCTACACTGGCTCCCAGGAAGTTTCCGAGCACAATTCAAAGTGTTGGTGCTGACCTTTAAAGCCCTAAATGGCCTCAAAGGCCCAGTATACCTGAAGGAGCGTCTCCACCCCCATCGTTCTGCCCAAACACTGAGGTCCAAAGGCCGAGTAAAGAATACCAGGAGACATGGTGGCAAAGGCTGCCAAGATGTTTTGTTCAGCAGTGGGATGCTCAAACTGAAGGAGTGCAGCAAAAGCGTGGCACTTTATAGCAAGCGACAGCAGGGGATTGGCTGTTTGGGGTCACGTGATTCCCAGACTCCCCCAGGGGGGTTCTGGGCTGTGTTAGCATCGCAGCTTGAGGTGCTTGCCGTTTCCTCCTCCATTCAGGGGAGTCTCAGCGCCCAAAGTCTGGGGCTCCTTTGGCAGACCCAGTTTTGGAAATGAAGCCGCGAGTGTGTGGGAGAATTTGGTCGTGGGGAGGCAATCTGCACATCTCTGAGCACAATTCAAAGTGTTGGTGCTGACCTTTAAAGCCCTAAATGGCCTCAAAGACCCAGTATACCTGAAGGAGCGTCTCCACCCCCCATCATTCTGCCCGGACACTGAGGTCCAGCTCTGAGGGCCTTCTGGCGGTTCCCTCACTGTGAGAAGCCAAGTTACAGGGAACTAAGCAGAGGGCCTTCTCGGTGGTGGCACCCGCCCTGTGGAACGCCCTCCCACCAGTTGTCAAACAGAAAAACAACTACCAGACTTTTAGAAGACATCTGAAGGCAGCCCTGTTTAGAGAAGCTTTTAATGTTTAATAGGTTATTGTATTTTAAGATGCTGTTGGGAGCTGCCCAGAGTGGCTGGGAAACCCAGCCAGATGGGCAGGGTATAAATAAGAAATTATTATTATTATTATTATTATTATTAGGATGAAGCTGCCCTATTATTAGCAGTGGCTGCCCAGGGTTTCAGACAGGGGACGTGGCGGGCCCTTCTTGAAGATGGAAGAAGGGGTTGAACATGAGGCCTTCTGCAGGCAAAGCAGATGTCCTATAACTGAGCTGCTGCCCTTCCCCGTTGTGTGAGAAAGGGCAAAGGAAGAAAGATTTGGAGGCAGAGAAAATATGTGAAGTTGCTTGAGGAAGCAGGAGACCTTGAGGGTGGCCGAGCGTGGGGAGCTGGGGGAGCAAAGCTCGTGCAGGAAGGGAGAGGAGGGTCAAGAGAGAAGGAAGCGCAGGCGCATGGAAGACTTGAAAGACCCCTGGGTTTGAATCCAGGCCCGCAAGGTGCCCTGGGATGGCATCACAACTGCCTTCTGCCTTTGCCAATGGCGCATGGGGCTGTTCCTACTCTGTGTGTGTGTAGTGGGGCAAATTCTGGGTTTGTTGTTGTTTAGTCGTTTAGTCGCAGTATCATGTAGAAACAGGGCAGGACAAACTTAGGAATGTTGTTGTTTAGTCGTTTAGTCGTGTCCGACTCTTCGTGACCCCCTGGACCAGAGCACGCCAGGCACTCCTGTCTTCCACTGCCTCCCGCAGTTTGGTCAGACTCATGCTGGTAGCTTCGAGAACACTGTCCAACCATCTCGTCCTCTGTCGTCCCCTTCTCCTTGGGCCCTCCATCTTTCCCAACATCAGGGTCTTTTCCAGGGAGTCTTCTCTTCCCCTGAGGTGGCCAAAGTATTAGAGCCTCAGCTTCAGGATCTGTCCTTCCAGTGAGCACTCAGGGCTGATTTCCTTCAGAATGGGGAGGTTTGATCTTCTTGCAGTCCATGGGACTCTCAAGAGTCTCCTCCAGCACCATAATTCAAAAGCATCAATTCTTCGGCGAGCAGCCTTCTTTATGGTCCGGCTCTCGCTTCCATACATCACTACTGGGAAAACCATAGCTTTAACTATACGGACCTTTGTTGGCAAGGTGATGTCTCTGCTTTTTAAGGTGCTGGGTTAATTCTGGGGTAAGAAATGTCTGTTTCCATAAATAAACAGCGCAAAGAAATGTCAGCGGTTTTGCAAATATTTCTATAAATGTGCCCAGTGTGCGCTCTGTACTCCATACCTTTCATATATCAAAGGGATTCAGTTTGGGTTTCTTTGCTATGGCATTTTATGGGAAGAAACCGAGTGGCGGCAGGAGGCGGAGAACTATTTTAACTATGAGTCGGTGGGCTTTCGGCTGCGCCACCGGGCTTCTGCTTTGAACAGTTACCTACCAGGCAGAATGCCAACATTTGTCTTCCTGCTAGGCCTGGGCAGGGGCAAAAATGGCTGGGTAATTTTGGCAGCCTTGAGGACTAGTTTGGTTATCAACTCTAGTGCTTAGGGTGCCTAGTTTCTCTGCATCTGAGACCTGGTGGCCCCATAGAACAAACCCTAAAGGAAGGGAGTTGAAAAACGCAAAGAAGCTCTGAATTCTAGGCTTTTAGAAGACACTGTCTCTAGGACAGTAGAAGAGCTGTTTGACAGTGGAACAGTCTCCCTCAAGAGCTGGTGGTCTCTGCCTCCTTGGAGTTTTTAAGCAGAGGTTGGATGGACATCTCTCATGTACGCTTGAGATGCTTCTATTGCAGGAGGTTAACAACAACAGCAACAACAACACCAATAATAATAATTTATTATTTATATGGCACCCATCTCACTAGGTTGCCCCAGCCACTTTGGCTGGCTTCCAACAGAACATCACACATTAAAAGCTTCCTTACAAATTGCGAGACAAGGACAACTGTGACTTCAAGGAGGAATGGGACCTTTTTACAAATTATAAAAAGACAAGAAAATGAATTGGACTCCTTGGCAGGTTTCGAATGAACATACACAAATTTATTGGTTGACAACATGATGGAGAGATATGTAAGGATATGTACAATTTTATAATATGCAGAGGGGCGCGGGTGGCGCTGTGGTCTAAACCACAGAGCCTAGGACTTGCCGATCAGAAGGTCGGCGGTTCGAATCCCCGCGACGGGGTGAGCTCCGGTTGCTCGGTCCCAGCTCCTGCCAACCTAGCAGTTTGAAAGTACCTCAAAGTGCAAGTAGATAAATAGGTACTGCTCCAGTGGGAAGGTAAACAGCGTTTCCGTGTGCTGCTCTGGTTCGCCAGAAGCGGCTTAGTCATGCTGGCCACATGACCCGGAAGCTGTACACCAGCTCCCACGGCCAATAAAGCGAGATGAGCGCCGCAACCCCATTGTCGGTCACGACTGGACCTAATGGTCAGGGGTCCCTTTACCTTTATAATATTCTGAGGAGAAATCAAGGAGAGGAGATGAAGGAAGTCCTTCGTGGGGGGGAGGGGAAAGGGAGGGAAATGATGTATGTGATTATATGGTTTGATAATTTGTTATGTGGAAATTGATCAATAATTTTTTTTTAAAAAAAGCTTCCTGATAGCCTTCAGATGTCTATGGAAAGTCAGATAGTTTATCTCTTTGACATTTGATGGGAAGGCGTTCCACACGGTGGGCGCCACCACCGAGAAGGCCCTCTGCCTGGTTCCCCGTAACCTCACTTCTCGCAGGGAGGGAACCGCCAGGAGGCCCTTGGCGCTGGACCTCAGTGTCCGGGCAGAACGATGGGGGTGAAAATGCTCCTTCAGGTATACAGGGTCAAAGCTGTTTAGGGCTTTAAAGGCCAGCACCAACACTTTGAATTGTGCTTGGAAACATACTGGGAGCCAATGTAGATCTTTCAAGACCAGTGTTATGTGGTCCCGGCGGTCGCTCACAGTCACCTGTCTAGCTGCCACCTTCTGGATTAGTTGTGGTTTCCACATCACCTTCAAAGGTAGCCCAACGAAAGCGACAGGAAGAATAAGAGGCCAACCAAAACAAAAAGTCTATAAGGATTGAAGAATCTTTAAAGAATATTTATAAAACTATGGAATAAAAGGAAACATCCTGGCAGAATTAGACTGATCCCTGTATTGTATAAATATAAGTTTGCAGGGAGGTAAAAAGAAATTATATAAGAAATATGTGTGGTATAAAGTAATGGATAAGACAAAGTACAGTGAGATTAATTGGAAGTCAGTTTTAAATTACTTTTCTATAAATTTTATAATTGTGTTCAATACCAGGAGTATATATGATGATAATTATATTAATCTTCTTATATCTTATAGTGTGGTGGTTTGTTTGATTTTTCTGTTATTTGTTTGTTTGTTTGTTTGATTGATTGATTGCATGTTTGTTTACTTGTATGTACGTCTGTTTTTCATAAATGTATTTATTTTAAATTAATAAAGATATATTTTTTAAAAAGGTAGCCCTCCGTAGACCACACTGCAGTGGTCCAAGTGGGAGATAACCAGAGCATGTACCACCCTGGCGAGACAGTGCGCAGGCAGGCAGGCTGGACTAGACAACCCTTGGCACCCCCTTCAACTTTCCAGATCTGTGTTTATGTGATCGCAGACATAGCTGCCGCCACTTGTCAGCCCTAGACACCTGGCTGGAGGCAGTGGGGATGAAAGCTCAGATGAGATGGCAGGAGGGGATTTCGGTCCATGCTGGACCAGACTGCTGTGGTGTCTGCCGATGTACCTTTGTGGATAATGCATTAGGTTCTTGGCAAAGACGCAAACTGCCTGTGGCGATGCCTTGCTTAATAATAGCTACAGGGAATAGGTCACCTGTACTGGTTCCCTTTTAAAAAATAAATAATTTCATTTTATTTACAGTGGTACCTCGGTTTAAGTACTTAATTCGTTCTGGAGGTCTGTTCTTAACCTGAAACTGTTCTTAACCTGAAGCACCATTTTACCTAATGGGGCCTCCTGCTGCTGCCGTGCCACAGGAGCACAATTTCTGTTCTCATCCTGAAGCAAAGTTCTTAACCTGGGGTACTATTTCTGGGTTAGCGGAGTCTGTAACCTGAAGCATCTATAACCTGAAGCGTATGTAACCCGAGGTACCACTGTATTTCTTAACATTCTTATATTACATCGGTAAACGTTGTAATATTACATTACAGGACTTACTATAATATAATTCCCAACATGTATACAAAAATTATATACAAATTTTATATACCTAGAAAGAAAATGAAACAAAAAAAGAAAGAACAAAGAGGGGGGGAAACAACCCCCCCAAAAAATCATATACATACCAACACACTAGACTTCCTGTCTTTCCTGTTGTATATTCCTTTTTATACAAATGAATGTACTCTTATTATTGTATATTTCTTTACATATGATCTAATACATTCCTATATCAATATGTGCTCTTAGTCTTATTTCTCAACTCAGTCTCACTCCAACGTCAATCAGATGCCAGCATAGATAGCGAACCTTTACTGTATTTTTGAACATATGTTTTATATCTATCCCACTTTTCCGCAAATTTTTGTTTTGAATTGCCTCTCAGGGTATTTGTCAACTGCGCCATTTCAGCAAATTCTTGTCGCTTGTAATGCCAGTCCGTTATTGTCGGGGCTTCTTGTTCCTTCCACCCCTTTGCCACCAAAGACCCTTTGCCAGCTGCAGCCTCCTGCCCCTTTAGCAGACTTTGTGTTGCCACGCTAGAAGCCGGTCCGGGCCGAATTCTATGCAATACGCCTGTCTCCCGCGATGACGTGCCGTGCTGGAAAGTTGGCACGGGCTGCCTTTTCTTGTTGTGGCCAGAGACTGCCCCAGCTCTCGTCCACCCTGGGATTCAGATGGTGTTTCCTGACGCCTTGTTTCTGTTCCTTCCCTTGCAGAGGATGGCGAGTACTTCCTCAAGGTCCTGATCCCCAGCTATGCTGCCGGATCCATCATTGGCAAAGGAGGCCAAACGATTGTCCAACTGCAGAAAGAAACCGGAGCCACTATCAAGCTCTCAAAATCGAAGGACTTCTATCCAGGTGAGCGCGGGCGGCTGGGAGGGTCAACAAGGTGGAAGGAATTCTCTGTACGTTTGACAACGTTGGCGGTTCACACGGTGTACATTCCTGGTGGCCCAAAACCGGGGACGGGGCAAAGCTTGTTCATACGTGTCTGTATGCAGAGACAGCGTGGTATAGCGGTTAGAGCCTTAGACTAGGATCTGGAAGAGCAGGATTCGAATCCGCACCTGGCCATGAAGGTCACCTCTCGGCCTAACCTACCCTGCAGGGTTGTTTGTAGGGGTTAAATGCGGAGGGGGAGAACCAGGGATACAGCCTTGAGCTCCTGGCAAAAGACGGCGGGATACAGAAGCAGGGAATAAATTTCAAAAACGTCGCTTCCACACTGCTGTATTGTTTTTAACACTCGATTGAGAGCCGCCCAGAGTGGCTGGGGAAACTCAGCCAGATGGGCAGGGTATAAATAATAAATTATTATTATTATTATTATTATTATTATTATTATTACTATTACTGGCAGCTGAATGTATGAACTCAGTACCCTGAAGAAAGTTGAGTCTTGGGGATATTGAGAGGAGATGCGATAGCCATCTTCAAATATCTGAAGGGCTGTCACGAGGCAGATGGAGCAAGCTTGTTTTCTCCTGCTCCGGAGGGTAGGACTCGAACCCATGGCTTCGTGTTACGAGAAAGTAGATTCAGACTAAACATCTGGAAGAGCTTTCTGGCAGTAAGAGCTCTTTGACAGGGGAACGGTCTCCCATGAGAGGTTGTGGACTCTGCTTCCTTGGAGGTTTTTAAGCAGAGGTTGGACGGCCATCTGTCATGGATGCGATAGTTGAGATTCCTGCATTGCAGAGGGTTGGACTAGATGATTCTTGGGGTACCTTCCAACAGTTCTACGATTCGATGATAGCATTCCCGTGTGCACAACTGTCACTTGAGGGTGCAGTTGTTCAAGTGAAGAACATGTATCTGTGAACCAGCCTTGGAGAGGGTTTCATTTGGGGCGGGAAGTGTTGTTTTTTGTGGGTTTTACGGCCTCTCCGACAAGGAAGCTTATAGATGGGCATTAAACCGTAAGACTTTGGTGCGGTTTGATTTGTGGCCCGGCTCAAGTCGTTTGAAAGAGCCCCTCGCCTTCCCTCAACTTGCCATCTTCTCTTCCCCTCAGGCCTCCACGTTCTCTGCCTATCATTCCCTTGGGTCTCTTCTTCTTGGTCTCCTAGCTACTCCAGCCACCGCCAGCCTGACGCCTTGCAGACATTTTGGACCACAACTCCCTTCGCCTCTGACTGTTCGTCTCATTGACTGGCTGGCTGGCTAGAGCTGCCGGGAGTTATAGTTCCAAACATCTGGAAGGCAAGAAGCTGGCCTGCTCTGTCCCTATCCCGGCTTTCAGATACCCCAAATGTGAGCTTCTCCTTTCTTGAGCTGCTGTTTCACCTACAGGCCAACTCAAGACTTTTTAGGGGCCCTCTATGTGAGTCCTCCACCTCACCATCGGCTACACCTTCCCAGAAAGTTGTTGTTGTTTAGTTGTTTATTCGTATCCGACTCTTCGTGACCCCCTGGACCAGAGTACGCCAGGCACTCCTGTCTTCCACTGCCTTCCGCAGTTTGGTCAAACTCATGCTGGTAGCTTTGAGAACACTGTCCAACCATCTCGTCCTCTGTCGCCCCCTTCTCCTTGTGCCCTCCATCTTTCCCAACACCAGGGTCTTTTCCAGGGAGTCTTCTCTTCTCATGAAGTGGCCAAAGTATTGGAGCCTCAGCTTCAGGATCTGTCCTTCCAGTGAGCACTCAGGGCTGATTTCCTTCAGAATGGGTAGGTTCGATCTTCTTGCAGTCCATGGGACTCTCAAGAGTCTCCTCCAGCACCAGAATTCAAAAGCATCAATTCTTCAACGATCAGCCTTCTTTAGGGTCCAGCTCTCACTTCCAAACATCACTACTGGGAAAACCATAGCTTTAACTATACGGACCTTTGTTGGCAAGGTGATGTCTCTGCTTTTTTTTTTTTTTTCCTGCTCCCCCCCCCCCCCCGCACTCAGAAAGTGAACTACTTAAATTACAATTGCTCTTTCCGGTGCAAGCATGTAAGGTGGCTGGGCCGGCCAGCAAAGTACCCCCTACTCCAGTGGCAGGGGTCTAGGGCCGTCGAAGACCCCAGGCACCCCACAGTTGCGGACGCTGCCCATCTTCGCCACGGAGTGCCCAGGCTTGCCCCCCCATCTCCCTATAATCCCAAGCTGTGATTGAAGGGCAGACAAAGCCCTGACAGGACAGCCCCTGGCTAAGCTGCTTTCCCTCCACATCCTCCACTCTTTATTGCCGGATTACGGGATGGGCTGGCAAATCCTCGCCAGTATAAAAACGATGGAGGGGTGTCGTGGCGACGGGGGAGAGGGAGAGAGAGAGAAGGCCTCCGCTCTTGTTGCCTTGGCAACAGGGAGCAGGTGCCTTGTTTGTTTGCAGCTTCCGGGAAGGACCCCCCCTTCCCCTTCGAGGGAAAGGAAACCCTTTGTATTTGATGAGGTCTGGCCAGGGTGGAAACACAGCCCTCCAGCATTCTTGAAAGCTGAGAGAGCTACAGATTCCTGCCCACAGTCGCGCTGCAAGTCGGGACTTTGCTCCGCCAAGACTGTCTTCCGAGAGCAAGTGTGGTGTACTGGTTGGGGTGTTGTACCGGAACCCCGTGAGACCTGGGTTCAAATCCTCACTCGGCCACAAAGCCCCCTGGGTGAGACCTTAAGGGCCGGTCACTGTCTCTCAGCCTAGCCTACCTTTTAGTGTATTTTTGGTCTTTATTGGAAGCCGCCCAAAGTGGCTGGGGAAACCCAGCCAGATGGGCAGAGTACAAATAATAAATTATTATCATTATTATTATTGCCTGACACGGTGACGTGGGTGGCGCTGTGGGTTAAACCACAAAGTCTAGGACTTACCGATCAGAAGGTCGGCGGTTCGAATCCCTGCGACGGGGTGAGCTCCCGTTGCTCGGTCCCTGCTCCTGCCAACCTAACAATTCGAAAGCACCTCAAAGTACAAGTAGATAAATAGGTACCACTCCAGCAGGAAGGTAAATGGCGTTTCCGTGCGCTGCTCTGCTTTGCCAGAAGCAGCTTAGTCATGCTGGCCACATGACCCAGAAGCTGTACACCGGCTCTCTCGGCCAATAGAGCGAGATGAGCGCCGCAACCCCAGAGTCGGTCACGACTGGACCTAATGGTCAGGGGTCCCTTTACCTTTACCTATTACCTCACACGGTTGTTGTGGGGATTCAGCGGGAAGGGGGAGAACCATGTATAGTCCACCTGGAGCTCCTCAGAGAAAAAGTCGGGGAATAAATACATCTGTCTTATCTCGGGAGACAACGGAGGAGTGCTCTTTTGTGAGTGAAGTCAAACTGCGGGAAGGTTGGAGCGCCAGCTGTTTGCTGTAGAGACCGAAACGGGAGAGACATGTTTTGTTGCAGCCGGGGCAGATGAAGGTTTCCGGTTGTTGTGCTACTGCAGACGCAGCATGGCGTCTCTTCTCTCTGCCCTCCTCCCAGAGGTCACTTGCAATAAATAAATAAATAAACGCATATCTCTTTCCTCCATGCACACATGTCAAAAACCCAGGTCAGCGATGAAAGGCTTGCAGCTCGATCCTGTATGTTTGTTTGTGTGCATGCATGCGCCAGCCCAAGTGGTGTTGGTGCAACTTTGTGGTATTTATTATTATTATTACTACAGTGGTACCTCAGGTTAAGTACTTAATTCGTTCCGGAGATCCGTTCTTAACCTGAAACTGTTCTTAACCTGAAGCACCACTTTAGCTAATGGGGCCTCCTGCTGCCGCCGCACCGCCGGAGCAAAATTTCTGTTCTCATCCTGAAGCAAAGTTCTTAACCTGAAGCACTATTTCTGGGTTAGCGGAGTCCGTAACCTGAAGCGTATGTAACCTGAAGCATACGTATCCCGAGGTACCACTGTATTATTATATCCTGGGCAACTGGCTGGGTTTGCCCTAGCTAAAACAACTACTTAAGGCAGCGGTTCTCAATTAGCTACCGTATTTTTTGCTCTGTAAGACTCACTTTTTCCCTTCTAAAAAGTAAGAGGAAATGTGTGTGCGTCTTATGGAGCAAATGGAGGCTGCGCAGCTATCCCAGAAGCCAGAACAGAAAGAGGGATCGCTGCTTTCACTGCGCAGCGATCCCTCTTGCTGTTCTGGCTTCTGAGATTCAGAATATATTTTTTCTCTTGTTTTCCTCCTCCAAAAACTAGGTGCGTCTTGGGGTCTGGTGCGTCTTATAGAGCGGAAAATACGGTAATTACTGAGGACTCCCTATTTTTCAAAAGCCAAGCTACGGAAAAGGAACAGGAAACTCAGCCTGGGCTGGCCAGCTAGGGAAACAGATTCAATAGCAGGAAACACTCCTTCTGATAAGCCGGCCAGAGGAACGCAGGCATGGCCTTTACACTGCAGCCACAATATGCGTTCGCCAAGATTTATCCAGATTTGGGAGCTGCTGTCTGGATCCCTCCCCCACCCCCAGGCTCAAAGAGGGTCAGGAAAGGAACGAAGCACCCAACAGGAAGGGGAGTAGGAGGCAAAGGGGCAGTTTCGGAACGGGGGAGGCCTTTAAAAGGCAGAGGAACAAGCAGCAGGGCTAACTCATGGAAAATTTGGGAGAAATGCTGGATATAAATTTGTCCTTGGGGGTGGAAGCCCGAGGGCTCCCAGAGCAGGCGTGCTAGGAAGATCTCTCAAGTTCCTAGCCCACAAAGAGGTGAAGGAGCTCATCTACCTGCACTTAACAAGGGGCAAACTTCAGGTTACACGAAACGCACTTTTCAGAAAAGCAAGCTGGCTGCTTGCGTTTTATTATGAAGGGAAAGCAGCCGTGTGGGTCCCGATCCAGACTGTGCTCCAAGCAGCTGAGGGGACTTTCTGTAGGAAACTTGCACGAGTCCTTTGCCTGGATTTTGGCTCCGTGGACCTGCATAGTGGCCAGTTTAAGCGAGCTTTGAAAATACCACAGTGATTTAAGGCCAAGCATAGTTTGGCCTTAAATCACTTGGGCACATCAAAAATCCAATAAGGCATGTGGGAAGAAACAGCTCTCTTCTAGTTTACAAAAAGAAAACACAAAAAAAACCCCAACCCTGGTCATTCAGAGGCCATTTTTACTCACCATAAGCGAGTGACACGTTTTTTTGCAAGCTTGTCCTAGGAATACAGGATTCCTTTATGCCAGGGGGTCAGCAAATTTTTTCAGCAGGGGGCCAGTCCACTGTCCCTCAGACCTTGTTGGGGGCCGGACTATATTTTTTTAAAAAATATGAACAAGTTCCTATTCCCCACAAATAACCCAGAGATGCATTTTAAATAAAAGCACACATTCTACTCATGTCAAAACACACTGATTCCCAGACCGTCCACGGGCCGGATTGAGAAGGTGATTGGGCTGGATCCGGCCCCCGGGCCTTAGTTTGCCTACCCATGCTTTATACAGTAATGGCAATTATTTGTCTTGTTTTTCGCTTTCTGGATCTCTGTGCAGTGGACAGGGAGAAGGAGAGAGGGCTGCAAATGAGTCAGAATTTGTTCTCCCACACCCAGAGACACCTGGAGTACTGTGTCCAGTTCTGGGCACCACAGTTCAAGAAGGACACTGACAAACTGGAACGTGTCCACAGGAGGGCAACCAAAATGGTCAAAGGCCTGGAAACGATGCCTTATGAGGAACGGCTAAGAGAGCTGGGCATGTTTAGCCTGGAGAAGAGGAGGTTAAGGGGTGATATGATAGCCATGTTCAAATATATAAAAGGATGTCACATAGAGGAGGGAGAAAGGTTGTTTTCTGCTGCTCCAGAGAAGCGGACACGGAGCAATGGATCCAAACTACAAGAAAGAAGATTCCACCTAAACATTAGGAAGAACTTCCTGACAGTAAGAGCTGTTTGACAGTGGAATTTGCTGCCAAGGAGTGTGGTGGAGTCTCTTTGGAGGTCTTTAAGCAGAGGCTTGACAACCATATGTCAGGAGTGCTCTGATGGTGTTTCCTGCTTGGCAGGGGGTTGGACTCGATGGCCCTTGTGGTCTCTTCCAACTCTATGATTCTATGAGTCTATGTAACTTCTGCGTCACACTGGTCCTAGTGCCATGGCTGTGGCTCCAGTCAAACAATTAAGCCCCAACAAATCCTACCCTCCAGGCAGTGGCGTAACTGGTCGCTCGGGTGCCCGGTGCTGTGCGTGTGTCCCGCAGCTGGGGGCGGAGCAATCTGCCCATGGGGGCGGGGCAAGCTGCCCATGGGGGCGGGGCAAGCCAAGGCAGGGCGCGCTGCGGGGAGCCTCTCTGCAGCCTCCCCCTCAGCTGAGGGCGGCTGAGGCGGTGGGCAGACGCAAGCCCCACGCTGCTCGAAAAAGCAGCATGGAGGTGTTGGCTATTCGCAGTATGGTAGCGCTGCAGAGAGCTTGCTGGAGAGACGATGCATTAAAAAGGGACTCAAAAAGTACTTAAACAAGGTTTTAATTACAAAAACAAAAAGTACTTTTATACTAAATACATTAACAAACAAACATGACCCAACCACCAACCCATCCCCCAGGGTAATGGGAGAGCTAGGTGCTGCCCCTTATATACTACACCAGGGGTCTGCAACCCGCGGCTCCGGAGCCTCATGTGGCTCTTTTACACCTTTGCCGCGGCTCCGGGGCGGAAACTAGCGAGGGGAGGAGGCGCATTGTGCGCCCCGACACTCCCCACTGTGGCGGGCGCTGTACTGGCTGTGACGTCGCATGGGGGCGGTGCATGCGTTAGTCACGCACTGTCCCGACGTCACCTTCCCGCCCGCCCGCTACATTGTAAGGGGCATGTACGCTGGTCACCGCATTGAAAGGGGGCATGTACGCTGGTCACTGTTTGGAAGGGGAGTGAAGAACACACACACACAAAAAGGTAACTTGTTAATTTAACGTTTATTTCTATGAGGAGGAGTAATTCTGAGGGGTCAAACAAAGAAATAATTTTTAAAAAAGTGACAAAAAAGTTATTTTTATAATGACGAGTTTTGCGGCTCCCGGTTTTTTTTCTTCGGAAACAGGTCCAAGTGGCTCTTTTTGTCTTAAAGGTTGCAGACCCCTGTACTACACCCAATTGCTGACACAGCTTAATCAATGCAACTCAGCAGCACCTGCTATGTTTCACAGCTGTAAAGCTGGGTCTTGTTACAGTGGTGCCTCGCAAGACGAAAAGAATCCGTTCCGCGAGTCTCTTCGTCTTGCGGTTTTTTCGTCTTGCGAAGCAAGCCCATTAGCGGTTTAGCGGATTAGCGCTATTAGCGGCTTAGCGGGCTTAGCGGATCAGCTGATAAGCGGCTTAGCGGATCAGCTGATAAGCGGCTTAGCGGCTTAGCGGATCAGCTGATAAGCGGTTTAGTGGCTTGGGAAAAGGGGGGGGGGGAGGAAAAAAACCCTGCAGGAACTCGCAAGACATTTTCGTCTTGCGAAGCAAGCCCATAGGAAATTCGTTTTGCGAAGCACCTCCAAAACGGAAAACCCTTTCGTCTAGCAGGTTTTCCGTCTTGCGAGGCATTCGTCTTGCGGGGCACCACTGTATTTTGCTCTGGCCCCTTAAAGACACACACATCAGGTGGAACAATGATGAACCTTTACATTTAAAGAAACCATTCAACAGGAGGTTGCAGGCAGTGTGCCCATCGCCTCCCCCTCAGGGTGTGGCACCCAGTCCCCCCCGCCTCACCTAGCTCCCAGTGGCGTAGGAAGGGGGGTGCGGTGCATGCGGGAGTTATTTTTATATATATATAAAAGTGCTGCGAGCCCAATTTTTAAAAATGTATTTTTGCCATTTTCTCACCCCCCTCAGTGATGACACCCAGGGCGGCCTGCAACCCCACCTTCCAGGCAGAGGCAATTGTGAATTTTATGCTCTGCTCAACAGCTGCCACCCTGTTGGCCTAATATATATACACACACACATATATATACACACACAGTGGTACCTCAGGTTAAGAACTTAATTCGTTCCGGAGGTCCGTTCTTAACCTGAAACTGTTCTTAAGACTGAAGCACCACTTTAGCTACTGGGGCCTCCCGCTGCTGCTGCGCGATTTCTGTTCTCAACCTGAAGCAAAGTTCTTAACCCGAGGTAATATTTCTGGGTTAGCAGAGTCTGTAAACTGAAGTGTCTGTAACCCGAAGCGGGTGTAACCCGAGGTACCAGTGTGTGTGTGTGTGTGTGTGTGTGTGTATAGGCAAAAGATTCCTGCATTGGAGGGCCGTGGCCTTCCACTCTACAATTCCACAAGTCTATGATTCTGTAGCCATAAGGTTGCGGCCCAGATTCTGGGACTTGTTTTCTCCCATTCAGGAATAAGCTCCCATGCATCTCCTTTGACGCCATTGACTTGATGCTGTTTCCATTGATTCCCACCCAGCGTAGTCCTTGTGCAATTCAAGAGCTGAATTTCCCCATGTCGCCGCATTGCCTCTTCCAGACTCCCTGTTTATTGAGCATTCATCTTGGCTTGCTTGATAAATGTGTGCGGGAGGGAGGTTATATGACATTTATTGTTGTTAGCCGCCCTGAGCCCGGCTTCGGCTGGGGAGGGCGGGATATAAATAAATTATTATTATTACTATTATTATTATTATTATTATTATTATATCAGCTCTTTATTGAGCATTCGTTCTGATTTGTTTGCAGGAAGGTGTATATATATATATATATATATAATTTGTTTACCGCCCTTCATCTGTAGATCTCAGGGCGCGGTTCACAGGTTAGATGACATCACACCAAGCAGTTTCTTTTCTTTTTTTTTAAAAAATGTTTTTATTAACAAATTCCACATAACAAATTGTCAAAACATATCATATTCGTTATTTTCCCCCTTTTTCCCCACCCCGCTTCAAACTCGCCCCCAGAGTCTTCCCTCAGCTCCTCTCTCTGATTTCTCAGCACATATTACTCTCTGCATTTTCTAACATTACCTATCTACCATGTTATCAACTAACAAATTTGTGTACGTTTATTCAAAACCTGCCAAGGAGTCCAATTCATTTTGTTGTCTTTTTAGATAAGTTGTAAAAGCTCTTCCTTAAAGTCACAGTTGTCCTTGTCCCGCAATTTGTATGTCATTTTAGCCAACTCTGCATAGCTCATCAATTCTTTCTTTCGTTGGGACATCAAGCAGTTTTCATCTCACATTTCCCTCCCCTTTCCGTAATGCAGGATGTCGGATTTTATTTTATTTTTTGAAGGGGAAAAAACTGGGTTTGTTGTGGAAAAGCGCCAACTCCACAAACCGTGTGGCAAAAATTTGCCGGCGTGTGAGTGAATCCGAACGAAGTTTGGAAGTGGCTCACCTGCCGCATGCTGGGAAAAGTTTCGGGATGTTCTTGGGGCCACGCAGCTGTGGCAGGCACAAAATTCCTGCCAGGAGCGCCATGGCAGCCCAACTTAGCCCTGCAGGGTAGCATGGGGGGGGATACCCCCTTCTGCCTCCCCTCCCCCTAATTTAGCCAGCTTCCGGCAGCTGTCTGGGTTATCCAAAGGGGCCTTGTGTGCTTTGATAGCTTAGATCCCTGCTCTATTTCTCTCTCCCTCTCAGAGGCTAAGAATATGCCAAGTTCCCTCCACACCCCTTCCTATTTATCCAGTGCTGACTAACACTTGGCTGAGGCAGTCCTATTGTTCCCGGGAAAGTGCAGCCCTTCTTGTTGGTAGCTTTTGTGGGATGGTGGAGAAGGCAGGGGGCAGGCAGTGGGTCCTTTGGCTCACCTCTGCAGTCTCTGCTGCTCTGCTCTTGCAGAGTCAGGCAGAGGACCGGGCCAGGTAGATAATGTGGCCCCCCTTTTTTTTTACCCTGGGGATAACTCATAGCTGTCAACCTTCCCTTTTTTTGTGGGAAATTCCCTTAATCCAGTGCTGTTTCCCGCTGCTATCCCGGATTGCTAGATATCCCGTAGACTGTCCCCGGGACAGGTGAGGCTGCTGATCCCTTATTTTCAAATCTGAAAGTTGGTAGCTATGGGATAACTGAAGTCTTATAAATAAGTATATAAATACTTTTCACAAACGTTATGCTGACAAATACCGTATTTTTCGCTCTATAAGACGCACCAGACCACAAGACGCACTTAGTTTTTGGAGGAGGAAAACAAGAAAAAAAGGGTTCGGAATCTCAGAAGCCAGAACAGCAAGAGGGATCGCTGCGCAGTGAAAGCAGCAATCCCTCTTGCTGTTCTGGCTTCTGGGATAGCTGCGCAGCCTGCATTCGCTCCATAAGACGCACACACATTTCCCCTTTCTTTTTAGGAGGGAAAAAGTGAGTCTTATAGAGCAAAAAATACGGTAATTTTATTTCGAGGCTTGAACCGTATCTGCATATAAAGACAAAATGGAAAATACAGTAATACCTCTGGTTACGTACTTAATTTGTTCTGGAGGTCCGTTCTTAACCTGAAACTGTTCTTAACCTGAAACTGTTCTTAACCTGAAGCACCACTTTAGCTAATGGGGCCTCCTGCTGCTGCCGCGCTGCCGGAGGACAATTTCTGTTTTCATCCTGAAGCAAAGTTCTTAACCCGAGGTACTATTTCTGGGTTAGCGGAGTCTGTTACTGTAACCTGAGGTACCACTATAGATAAATACTCTGACCGAGGCCCCCTTTGGAATCGGAGGTCCGGGCCAAGTGGCCCATATGGCCCCCCCTCTGTCTGGGCCTGCTGCTCTGTGGTCACCCATGTTGAGCTCATAGCTGTCAACCTTTCCTTTTTTTGTGGGAAATCCCCTTATTCCAGCTCCGTTTCCCGCTGCTCTCCTGGATTGTTAGATATCCCGTAGACTGTCCCCGGGACAGGTGAGACTGCTGATCCCTTATTTTCAAATCTGAAAGTTGACAGCTATGATTGAGCTGCTTATAAGAAAGCAAAAGAGGAGCCCTGCTCCTTCAGCATCCTGGCCGGCTGGCTAGCCGGATGCCTCCTGGAAGATCGCAAGAAAAGGTCAACAGCAGCCACACACACACACACACACACACACACACACACACCCTCCGTTTCTCTGTTCCCATCATTACAAGTCCTCCGAGATAGACTGCCCCTAAACTCAGAGGCTCCATTTCCTTTAACGCAGCTACTGGCGTTCAGGAACGCGGCTGTCAACAAACAGCCACGTCGGAAGCAAGTTGAGGGGAAGCACATCCAGGTGAAAGTTGGAAACACGAGTCACGCGTATGGATTTAAAACAGGCGCTTAGTTGAAAGGAAGTGGCGGTTGTGTGTGTGTGTGATCCACTGTTTGTTAGCCTGAATGGATGGCTAAAGTATCCTGAACATGCGGGGGGGGGGGGTGTTCCTTCATTAGTGCTTGCCAAAGGGGCTGGAGCCATGCAAGACACCTGGGGGCTTTGGAACGACCGACATCTTCTTTGAAATGTGTTTTCTGAAGATAATGCTGTGTGCATTGGAAGGAATTGGGGCCAGACAAATTCATGGAAGATAAGGGATCAATGGTTACTAAGGTTGTTGTTGTTTAGTCGTTTAGTCATGTCTGACTCTTCGTGACCCCATGGACCAGAGCACGCCAGGCACTCCTGTCTTCCACTGCCTCCCGCAGTTTGGTCAAACTCATGCTGGTAGCTTCGAGAACACTGTCCAACCATCTCGTCCTCTGTCGTCCCCTTCTCCTTGTGCCCTCCATCTTTCCCAACATCAGGGTCTTTTGCAGGAGTCTTCTCTTCTCATGAGGTGGCCAAAGTATTGGAGCCTCAGCTTCAGGATCTGTCCTTCCAGTGAGCACTCAGGGCTGATTTCCTTCAGAATGGAGAGGTTTGATCTTCTTGCAGTCCATGGGACTCTCAAGAGTCTCCTCCAGCACCAGAATTCAAAAGCATAAATTCTTCAGTGATCAGCCTTCTTTATTATGGTCCAGCTCTCACTTCCATACATCACTACTGGGAAAACCATGGCTTTTACTATACGGACCTTTGTTGGCAAGGTGATGTCTCTACTTTTTAAGATGCTGTCTAGGGTTACCAGTTTTTTTTCAATGAATCCGGGGACACTTTTAAACTTCCTACTAAATAGATGGATTTTGTCAGGGGAACTGACTTGTAAATCCAGGTACTGTCCCCGGGAAACGGGGACGTCTGGTAACCTTATACTAATGGCCACGTTCTCTCTCCCCTGTCGGCAGCAGCATGCCTCTGAATGCCAGTGCCTGGAAACCACAGTTGGGGAGAGCTCTGCTCTTCCACTCGTGTCAGATTCCTGCCTTGCAGCGGGTTGGAATAGAAATAATAATAATAATAATAATAATAATAATTTTATATATACCCCGCCCTCCCCAGCCAAGACCGGGCTCAGGGCGGCTAACACCAAATATAAAACAATTGATTGAAATACAGCTTAAAGAATAAGATTAAAATACAACATTAAAACATTAAAATGCAACCTCATTTCAGTGGAAACGCAATCAAAAACTTTTTGGGGGATGAAAACGTCAAGTCTTCACCAAGGCCAACTATCCAGACTGGTCCTACATGGGCCAGAAAAAAGCCAGGGAAGTCCCCAAAGAGGAGTTCCATCACAGAAGGAAAAAGGAAAGAGGGGGAGGGGATCAAGTTGATTCCAAGCCAAAGGCCAGGTGGAACAGCTCTGTCTTACAGGCCCTGCGGAAAGAAATCAGATCCTGCAGGGCCCTGGTCTCATGAGGCAGAGCGTTTCATCAGACCGGGGCCAGTGTTGAAAAGGCCCTGGCTCTGGTTGAGGCTAATCTGACTTCCTTAGGGCCCGGGACCACTAGGATGTTGCTATTTATAGACCTTAAGGTCCTCTGTGGGGCATATCGGGAGAGGTGGTCCCGTAGGTACGTGGGTCCTAGGCCGTGAAGGATGACCCCCTGGGATCCCTTCCAGCTTTACGGTTCTATGATTCTATTTTTAGTAGGCTTCCTGACCATTTGTGATGAAACCCCAGCTGACATGGCGTGTGTGGTTTGTGGTGCCTGCAACATTGCAAATATTGACTCCTGTAAGAACTGACTCCTGGTCATTGGAATGAGTTGTGCGCCTTACAGGCGTCAGCCATCCCCATAACTTGATTTTGACGCAAGCCGTTTCGGGCCCTTCAAAGCAGCGGTCTTTTCTTGTTTGTTTGTAAATACTCAATAAACCATTTCCATTCTTTTATAAAAAGTTTGTTATCTTGGTTTCTTATCCTTCCAGTAAGTTTTGCCAGTTCTGCAAAGTCTGCAAGTTTTTGTATTCATTCTTCCTTTGCTGGGTCTTCTGCTTCTTTTGGGGCAAGTAGGATTCTTGCTGCTGCAGTACCATACATAAATAAGTTTCTATACATTTTAGGTATATATAATCCCCAGCTTTTTTTTTTTTTTTACAAAGGTTATTTTAAACATCCTTTTCATTTCATTATATATCATTTCCCAGTAAGCTTTAACCATACTACAAGACCACCACATATGATAAAAAGAATATTCTTTCTCTTTACATTTCCAACACTTATTCGATTGAGATTTGTATATTTTTGACAACTTCCTCAGTGTTAGATACCGTCAATAGATCACTTTCATATGATTTTCTCTTAGACCATAACATGCTGTAAATTTTATATCCATATTCCACCATCGTTCCCATGCTTCCATACTTGAGGTTTTTGTGTGCATGTGGCAAGGCGAAGGAAAGCGGTTTCTGTGAATGGTGGTCCCCATTTCAAATTCTGGCTGAGCTGTGTGTTTTGCACCAGCCAAGACCCATTGCGGATCAGTGTGCCTACACACCCACTGTGGGGGTGAGGGCAAAGCCCTTTCACAGCTCGGTTCAAATCTCACCTGAGCTTCAAACTAAGGAAGTCTGTGTCTCTCAGCTCCCTTCTCTGCAGGATGAAAACACTGGCCTAACCTCGCAGAGCTGTTGTGAGGGCCGCCTGGCGAACATATTGATGGGTTGCGTACAAAATGCTTGGCTACGTGGACATTTATGTTGGACTCACCATATCATCCTCATTAGGAATCGTGTGATCTTTTGATAAATTAAATCTAAGAATTAATATTAATTCTTGTTGTCGTTTAGTCGTGTCCGACTCTTCGTGACCCCCTGGACCAGAGCACACCAGGCACTCCTGTCTTCCACTGCCTCCCATAGTTTGGTCAAACTCATGCTGGTCGCTTCGAGAACACTGTCCAACCATCTCATCCTCTGTCATCCCCTTCTCCTTGTGCCCTCCATCTTTCCCAACATCAGGGTCTTTTCCAGGGAGTCTTCTCTTCTCATGAGGTGGCCAAAGTAGTGGAGCCTCAGCTTCAGGATCTGTCCTTCCAGTGAGCACTCAGGGCTGATTTCCTTCAGAATGGAGAGGTTTGATCTTCTTGCAGTCCATGGGACTCTCAAGAGTCTCCTCCAGCACCAGAATTCAAAAGCATCAATTCTTCGGCGATCAGCCTTCTGGATGGTCCAGCTCTCACTTCCATACGTCACTACTGGGAAAACCATAGCTTTAATTAATAATAAATAGGAATGCCTAAAACGAGAGGTAGGGACGTGGGTGGCGCTGTGGTCTAAACTAAGGTTACTAGATTTTTTTCAATGAATCCAGGGACACTTTTCAACTTCAATGGATTTTGTATGGGAACTCTCCCCGGGAAACGGGGACGTATGGTAACCTTAGTCTAAACCACAGAGCCTAGGGCTTGCTGACCGGAAGGTCTGCAGTTCGAATCCCCGCCACGGGGTGAGCTCCCGTTGCTCGGTCCCTGCTCCTGCCAACCTAGCAGTTCAAAAGCACATCAAGTTCAAGTAGATAAAGAGGTACCACTCTGGCGGGAAGGTAAACGGCGTTTCCGTGCGTTGCTCTGGTTCGCCAGAAGCGGCTTAGTCATGCTGGCTACGTGACCTGGAAGCTGTATGCCGGCTCCCTCGGCAAATAAAGCGAGATGAGCGCCGCAACCCCAGAGTCGTCCACGACTGGACCTAACAGTCAGGGGTACCTTTACCTTTAAAACGATAGGTGCTCGAGTGAACATCTGCCCCACCCCAGAGACTCTGGCTGAGAATGTAATCCCAGATTCCTGCCAATTCCTTGGTGGGCAGGAATCGATTGCCACCAGGGACGGATTTAGGATGAGGTACTAAAGGTAATGGGGCCCTTTATATGTCCGGCTGTCCTTTGTCAACAACAAATTGTTGCTGTTTTTTGTGTTGAATATATGCTATACAGTGGTATCTCGGGATGCGAACGGGATCCATTCCGGAGCCCTGTTCACATCCTGAATAGAACGTAAGACGCGACTGCGCATGCGCGGGTCGCGTCTTGCTGCTTCTGCGCATGCGCATGATGTCATTTTGACTGTGCATGCGTGAGCGGCGAAACCAGGAAGTAACAAGTTCTGTTACTTCTGGGTCGCTGCAGAGCGCAACCCGAAAATACTTATCCTGAAGCATATTTATCCCGAGGTATGACTGTATGGTAATTTATGGACCTAATAGGTATCTCAAGCCATTTGCACATGTTCCCCTGCAACCAGTCCATGCAGAATGTAGGCACCCTATACAGTGGTACCTCAGGTTAATTCGTTCTGGAGGTCCGTTCTTAACCTGAAACTGTTCTTAACCTGAAGCACCACTTTAGCTAACGGGGCCTCCTGCTGCTGCCGTGCCGCCGGAGCACGATTTCTGTTCACATCCTGAAGCAAAGTTCTTAACCCGAGGTACTATTTCTGGGTTGGCAAAGTCTGTAACCTGAAGCGTATGTAACCTGAAGCGTATGTAACCCAAGGTACCACTGTATATAGAAAGGAGCAAACCCATGATATTTTAGGGAGCAGGCTAGCAGGTGGGGCCCATGACTTACATCATAGGAGCCTACACAACACAAAACACTGTTGCTGTATGTAGGATTTTTAAATGGTTTTTTATCTTATATTTTGGAAATATACATCCAGGTTTTTTCCCTTAAATCTTTTTTTGGGGGGCCCAAGAGAGTGGGGCCCTAAGCTACAGCTTGTTTAGCTTATACGTAAATCCAGCACTGATTGTACACTCTGCACCTGCTCAGAGATAGCCTTTTTCCTTGGTAACCCCCTGGGGTTAAACCCTGGCTTCCTACGCCACCCCTCCCTATCCGAAAAGAAAGCTACTGGGGCTGAAGCCTAGGAGGGCTGGACTTTTCTAGCTCAGTTCTTGTGTAGTACGCAGACCCTCCTTGCTCAATGGAAGCCAGCTTTCCACCCACCCTTCTTAGCAGGGAGAGGACGACGCTTTGCTTCTGCAGACAAATTTGGCGTTTCCCATTTGCCCCGTTGCCCAGGTGACGGTCTCCCTCCCTCCCTCTTTTTTGCAGAGGAGGGGGCTCCTCTGGTCCCTGGGAAGACAGGCCCTTGAGGCCTGCAGCAGCAGCAGCAGATTGCAAGGTGGTGATGGGGGAAAGGAGGAGGAGGAGGAGGAGGCTGCTGTGGGTTGCCATGGCAACTCTGTGGCAGAGATGTATTGTTGAGGCAGCAGCTATGGGGAAGGCAGGGAGGAGAAGGAGAAGATGCTGGCTTTGGGATGCTGTGTGTGTGTGTGTGTGTGTGTGTGTGTGTGTGTGTGTGTGTTGGAGAATGTGAGCACTCAGCCTTCTGGTATCCATGGTGCTGGCGCTTGGCCTTCTCAGGTGGCCTAAAATATTCCCCGTTTTTTGTTCCTATGTACACACACACACACACACACAAACCCTCTGATACTTGCTTGCTCACTCTCTCCCCTCAGTCGATGCGATGAAAGGCAGGCTGCATTTTTATAAATAGCCATCTAAGGACAGGAGTCCAGTCTTTGCTTTTTACGAATCGCAGCAGCCAGCACAATTTTCTAAGGACCAGCTAGCAGGGGAGATGGGACAGAACAGACTTCTGGTTGCAATCGAGGGGCCACCTCCCAGACCCCTGTTTTTGTGCAGACGTTGGGGGCTCCTGGGTACCCCTGGGCTTTTAAACCTGTGATGCAGCCAGCAGCGGCCATCTGCAGGAAACCAGCAAGCAATATCTGAGTACAAGAGGCCTTTGTGGCTTCCACCAACTTCAGAGGCCTCTTATTGTAGAAGCAGAACATAGCCTCCATGGCTGTTGTTGTTGTTGTTTACTCGTTTAGTCGTGTCCGACTCTTCGTGACCCCCTGGACCAGAGCACGCCAGGCACGCCTGTCTTCCACTGCCTCCCGCAGTTTGGTCAAACTCATGCTGGTAGCTTCGAGAACACTGTCCCACCATCTTGTCCTCTGTCGTCCCCTTCTCCTTGTGCCCTCCATCTTTCCCAACATCAGGGTCTTTTCCAGGGAGTCTTCTCTTCTCATGAGGTGGCCAAAGTATTGGAGCCTCAGCTTCAGGATCTGTCCTTCCAGTGAGCACCTAAGGCTGATTTCCTTAAGGATGGAGAGGTTTGGTTTTCTTGCAGTCCATGGGACTCTCAAGAGTCTCCTCCAGCACCAGAATTCAAAAGCACCCATTCTTCGGCGATCAGCCTTCTTGATGGTCCAGCTCTCACTTCCATACATCACTACTGGGAAAACCATAGCTTTTACTATACGGACCTTTGTTGGCAAGGTGATGTCTCTGCTTTTTAAGATGCTCTCTAGGTTTGTCTTTGCTTTTCTCCCAAGAAGCAGGCGTCTTTTAATTTCGTGGCTGCTGTCACCATCTGCAGTGATCATGGAGCCCAAGAAAGTAAAATCTCTCACTGCCTCCATTTCTTCCCCTTCTATTTGCCAGGAGGTGATGGGTCCAGTGGCCATGATCTTTGTTTTTTTGATGTTGAGCCTCAGACCATATTTTGCACTCTCCTCTTTCATCCTCATTAAAAGGTTCTTTAATTCCTCCTCACTTTCTGCTATCAGCCTGCATGGCTAGTAGCCATCAATAGCCCTCTCCTCCACAAATCTACCCAATCCTCTTTCTTAAAAGAATATACGTTTTCCATAATTTTACAGTTACCATCACTTATCATATAACAACAACAACAATTTATTTGGACTACCAATCCCATCAGACCCTGGAGATGATGGGAGTTGTATTCCAGAACCTCTGAAGAGTAGCAGGTAGGCAAAGGCCTTGATTCTTTGATACTCCCATCATCAGTAATGGGCCAGAAGGACCAGGGATCTGACTCACTACACAAGGCACCTTCAAGTGCTCATGTGTTACAATTAATAAATAATAATAATAATAATAATAATACCCAGTCCATCTGGCCGGGCCTCCCCAGCCACTCTGGGCGGCTTCCAACAGTATATTAAAAACACATCAAACATCAAACATGGAGACTTCCCTAAACAGGGCTGACTTCAGATGCCTTCTAAAAGTCAGATAGTTGTTTATTTCCTTGATATCTGGTGGGAGGGCGTTCCGCAGGGCGGGCGCCACTACCGAGAAGGCCCTCTGCCTGGTTCCCTGTAGCTTTGCTTCTCACAATGAGGGAACCGCCAGAAGGCCCTCTGCACTGGACCTCAGCATCCGGGCAGAACGAGGGGGTGGAGATGCTCCTTCAGGTATACTGGACCGAGGCCGTTTAGGGCTTTAAAGCTCAGCACCAACACTTTGAATTGTGCTCGGAAACGTACCGGGAGCCAATGTAGGTCTTTCAAGACCGGTGTCATGTGGTCTCGGCGGCCGCTCCCAGTCACCAGTCTATATTCTTTGACTTCCCCACACATCCATCCATGGGTCCTTTATGAGCTGCATCTCCTTAATTACCACCCGTCTTCTAGTGGTTTCTACCTGCTGCTCATATATCTAGCCCTACTTGCAAATAATTTGGTTACAGTGGAACCTCGGGTTGCGGATGTAATCCGTGACGGAGGCACGTCCGCAACCCGCAGCGTTTGCAAACAGAAGCGGTGCGTCTGCGCAAGCGCGTGACACAGTTTAGTGCTTCTGCACTAAAGGGTGCAGAACCCAAAGGGTGCTCATCAATGGTTCCTCTTCATCCTGGAGAAGAGTGACTAGTGGGGTGCCACAAGGTTCTGTCTTGGGCCCGGTCTTATTCAACATCGTTATCAATGACTTGGATGATGGACTCAAGGGCATCCTGATCAAATTTGCAGATGACACCAAACTGGGAGGGGTGGCTAACACCCCAGAGGACAGGATCACACTTCAAAACGACCTTGACAGATTAGAGAACTGGGCCAAAACAAACAAGATGAATTTTAACAGGGAGAAATGTAAAGTATTGCACTTGGGCAAAAAAATGAGAGGCACAAATACAAGATGGGGGACACCTGGCTTGAGAGCAGTACATGTGAAAAGGATCTAGGAGTCTTGGTTGACCACAAACTTGACATGAGCCAGCAGTGTGACGCGGCAGCTAAAAAAGCCAATGCAATTCTGGGCTGCATCAATAGGAGTATAGCATCTAGATCAAGGGAAGTAATAGTGCCACTGTATTCTGCTCTGGTCAGACCTCACCTGGAGTACTGTGTCCAGTTCTGGGCACCACAGTTCAAGAAGGACACTGACAAACTGGAACGTGTCCAGAGGAGGGCAACCAAAATGGTCAAAGGCCTGGAAACGATGCCTTCTGAGGAACGGCTAAGGGAGCTGGGCATGTTTAGCCTGGAGAAGAGGAGGTTAAGGGGTGATATGATAGCCATGTTCAAATATATAAAAGGATGTCACATAGAGGAGGGAGAAAGGTTGTTTTCTGCTGCTCCAGAGAAGCGGACACGGAGCAATGGATCCAAACTACAAGAAAGAAGATTCCACCTAAACATTAGGAAGAACTTCCTGACAGTAAGAGCTGTTCGACAGTGGAATTTGCTGCCAAGGAGTGTGGTGGAGTCTCTTTGGAGGTCTTTAAGCAGAGGCTTGACAACCATATGTCAGGAGTGCTCTGATGGTGTTTCCTGCTTGGCAGGGGTTTGGACTCGATGGCCCTTGCGGTCTCTTCCAGCTCTATGATTCTATGATTCTATGCACGAGCGGCGAAACCCGGAAATAACCCGTTCCAGTATTTCCGGGTTTGCCATGGTGCGCAACCCGAAAACACGTAACCAGAAGCAAACATATCATGAGGTATGACTGTATTATATTTCTTTAAGCATTCACCAAAGTATTCCCACTCCTCTCTTATATCCTGATTCCTTGTCCTTGCAGTCAACATTGCTAATTCTGAATATTCTATTAACTTGTTCCGCCATTCTTCTTTCATATGACTTTTTTGTCCTTCCACCTTTGAGCATAAATAATTGTGGCCGCTGCCGTTGTGTATAGGAAGAGAGATCAAATACTTTCTTAGGTATTTCACCCTCTATAATATTCAATAAGATCATCTCTGGGTCTTTGGTTTTGTTTTGGAATGAGAGCTTTAACATCCTTTTTATCTCTGAATATATCATCTCCCAATACTCTTTAGCTTTTTTACAACCCCACCACATGTGTGTGAATGTTCCCACTGTCTCTTCGCCTTTCCAACATAGTTTAGTTCCTTTTTAATGAATTTCTCCAGTCCTTTTAAAGCCATCTCACTTGGTGGCTTTTGCTGCCTCTTCTGGGAAGGAGTCCCATAGTTTAAGAAATATTTCTCCTCCTTGGTGTCTTGTCAGTAGAAACTGACAGGAAGAGGAAGGCCTCTGGCTGTGCAGCAGAGGACACACTTCGCTTGCAGAAAGTCTCAGGTTCTGAGAGAGAGCTCAGTCAGTAGAGGGTGAGAAGCTTATTCTCAGGTTCATGGGTTCAAGCCCCACGTGGTGCAAAATATTCCTGAACTGCAGGGGGGTTGTACTAGAAGGCCCTTGTGGTCCCCTCCAGCTCTATGAGTCTGTGATTCAATAGCTGTCCAACTTTGTATAAGGCCTCCCACCCAGAGGAGTGAATTGCTGCCATTTGTCAGAGTGGCCTGGAGGACATCAAGTGAACAGGGGGACTCATTGCCACTGGATGGGATGGGCCTTTCAGGTCTTTTGCTATCTCTTACAGTGGAAGGACCCCCCCGTGTGTCTCCCCCCCCCCCCGATCTGCCCTGACTGTTGGCACAGTCTTTTCTCTGTGGGCAAATTTCCTTCATTTTTTTATCGCTACCCTTATCTTTGGTTAATAGTTTTGCCTCTTTCTTCTTTTTCTGTGGTATTATTGTCTGTAGAGACTTCCTTCATTTTTTAATAGGTTCTCTTTTATCCCCCACCCCCGCCCCTCCTGGTATAAAGTGCTTGAAAACCTTTTCTTGTGTTTTCCTGCTTTCCTGGGTTTCTTCAGTAGTGAACCTTTGGTGTGTGTGTTTTCTCCTTGCGCTTTCTTCATCTGGCGTGGCTGCTTGGTGGTGGCCCCCGCGATACTTACCAAGTGCACTACCGTTTTCCTCTTGGGGAATGTCCTTGAGGCTCTGCCCTCTGATTTTTCATCGCCTTTTAGCAAGGGGGAAACATCTCAGAAGCTCCTCAACAGCTCCCACCATACCTGTTAAGCGGGACTGTCAGCATTCAAGCTGCATCCTCTCATTTTTCCGCCCTCGGTTTTGTCCGAGGGAACATTTTAAAGGTTTTCTCCCCTTCCTTATTTCCTCCTGCCTTTCAGGGTGTGTGCATGTGTGTTTGAGGGAAACTTCAAAAAAAAACTGGAGGTGCAGTAAAGCACTAAATCCTACTGAGTTTCTGGAGTACAGGGGGTTCAGAAAGGGGAATGGAATTTGTTGTTGTTGTTATTGTTTAGTCGTTTAGTTGTGTCCGACTCTTCATGACCACCTGGACCAGAGCACGCCAGGCACTCCTGTCTTCCACTGCCTCCCGCAGTTTGGTCAGACTCATGCTGGTAGCTTTGAGAACACTGTCCAACCATCTCGTCCTCTGTCGCCCCCTTCTCCTTGTGCCCTCCATCTTTCCCAACATCAGGGTCTTTTCCAGGGAGTCTTCTCTTCTCATGAGGTGGCCAAAGTATTGGAGTCTCAGCTTCAGGATCTGTCTTTCCAGTGAGCACCCAGGGCTGATTTCCTTCAGAATGGAGAGGTCTGATCTTCTTGCAGTCCATGGGACTCTCAAGAGTCTCCTCCAGCACCATAATTCAAAAGCATCAATTCTTCGGCGATCGGCCTTCTTTATGGTCCAGCTCTCACTTCCAGACATCACTAATAGAATATTCCAAAAGAGGGTGTAGCTGGCTGGAGAGAACCTGGAAGAGAAGCACTCCACACCATACCTTTCTCGCCCTGATCTGGCCACAGTGATTATTGCGACGGCTTGATTATTGTAACTCGCTGTACATGGGGCTGCCCTTGAAGCTGACCCAGAAACTCCAGCGGGTGCAGAATGCCACGGCGAGGCTCCTTACAGGGTCCTTGCCATGGGATCACATTCATCCAGTGCTTTACCAACTGCACTGTCTCCCAGTGGAGTACAGGATCAGGTTTAAGGTGCTGGTTTTGACCTTTAAAGCCCTATGCAGCCTAGGACCCTCGTACCTATGGGACCGCCTCTCCTGGTATGCCCCGCGGAGGACCTTAAGGTCCACAAATGACAACAGGTCCCAAGTCGCAAGGTGGTTAGATTGGTCTCAACTAGGGCCAGGGCCTTTTCAGTACTGGCCCCGACTTGGCGGAACGCTGTGTCACAAGAAACTAGGGCTCTGTGGGACTTGACATCTTTCCGCAGGGCCTGCAAGACAGAGCTGTTCCGCCTGGCCTTTGGTTTGGACTCGGTCTGACCCTTATGTTTCCCTCCCCTTATGGTTTTGATCCATGGGCTACTTTTAAAATGAGGCTGCATTTTAAATTGTATTTTAACCTCTATTTCAAATTGTCCCCCTCCCCATTATATTTTTATTGTAATTTTACTGGTGTTAGCTGCCCTGAGCCCAGCTCTGGCCGTCTTGAGGGGCTGGGAGCTGGGGGCACTGTCATACAGTGGTTCCGCTCCTTCCTCCTGGGCCGTGTTCAGAAAGTGGTGGTGGGGGATGAGTGTTCAGACCCCTGGGCTCTCACTTGTGGGGTGCCTCAGGGTTCTGTCCTCTCCCCCATGCTTTTCAACATTTACATGCAGCCGCTGGGAGAGATCATCAGGAGGTTTGGGCTGGTAGTTCATCAGTATGCGGATGATACCCAGCTCTACCTCTCTTTCAAATCAGAACCAGTGAAGGCGGTGAAGGTCCTGTGTGAGTGTCTGGAGGCGGTTGGAGGATGGATGGCGGCTAACAGATTGAGGTTGAATCCTGACAAGACAGAAGTACTGTTTTTGGGGGACAGGAGGTGGGCAGGTGTGGAGGATTCCCTGGTCCTGAATGGGGTAATTGTGCCCCTGAAGGACCAGGTGCGCAGCCTGGGAGTCATTTTGGACTCACAGCTGTCCATGGAGGCACAGGTCAAATCTGTGTCCAGGGCAGCTGTTTACCAGCTCCATCTGGTACGTAGGTTGAGACCCTATCTGCCTGCGGACTGTCTCGCCAGAGTGGTGCATGCTCTGGTTATCTCCCACTTGGACTACTGCAATGCGCTCTACGTGGGGCTACCTTTGAAGGTGACTCGGAAACTACAACTAATCCAGAATGCGGCAGCTAGACTGGTGACTGGGGGCGGCCGCTGAGACCATATAACACCGGTCTTGAAAGACCTACATTGGCTCCCAGTACGTTACCGAGCACAATTCAAAGTGTTGGTGCTGACCTTTAAAGCCCTAAACGGCCTCGGTCCAGTATACCTGAAGGAGCGTCTCCACCCCATCGTTCTGCCCGGACGCTGAGGTCCAGCGCCAAGGGCCTTCTGGCGGTTCCCTCATTGCGAGAAGCAAAGCTACAGGGAACCAGGCAGAGGGCCTTCTCGGTAGTGGCGCCCGCCCTGTGGAACGCCCTTCCAGCAGATGTCAAAGCGCTAAACAACTACCTGACATTCAGAAGACATCTTAAGGCAGCCCTGTTCAGGGAAATTTTTAACGTGTGATATTTTACTGTATTTTTTGTTTCTATGGAAGCCGCCCAGAGTGGCTGGGGAGGCCCAGCCAGATGGGCGGGGTATAAATAATAAACTATTATTATTATTATTATTATAAATAAAATTTATTATTTATTATTATCATAACATTTGCAGTCTGTTAGTATTTGTAGCGCTCAAAGCACGACACCTTTACAGCATTCCCTTCCACTGGGTTCGGTTGTCTCCTTCCTTCTGCCTTGTTCCTTTGTTGTCGTGATAAGGGGAGAGACCATAGACCAGTGACTGAGCCATGCAGCCCTGCCAAACACCTTTCTGTGCTCACCAGAGGAGACAGTACTGACCTAAAGCCTGTCCTGTGGAACTCCCTGCCTAGAGATGCTCACCAGGAACCGTCCTTGCCTTCTTTCGAGTGTCCTCTAAAAACTGGGCCATCTAGCCAGGCCTTCGCAAGATGATTTCCCCCTTTAAACCAGCCAGCATCTACAGTGGTGCCCCACAAGACGAATGCCTCGCAAGACGAAAAACGCGCAAGACGAAAGAGTTTTCCGTTTTTTGAGTCGTTCCGCAAGATGAATTTCCCTATGGGCTTGCTAGTTCTTGCGAGTTTGTTTCCTTTTTCTTAAAGCCGCTAAGCCGTTAATAGCCGCTAAGCCGCTAATAGCCGCTAAGCCGCTAATAGCCGTGCTTCGCAAGACGAAAAAACCGCAAGACGAAGAGACTCGCGGAACGGATTAATTTCGTCTTGCGAGGCACCACTGTACTGATGTTTCACGGATGTTTTGAATTAGGTTTTATAGATATTTAAAGACTGGCATTTAAAATTGCATGTCATACGTTGTAAGCGGCCTGGTGATATTTTAAGAAAGAGCGGGTGGTACATTTTCAAATAATTATAAATAAACAAATGGACAATTAGCCCAAACTGGTATAAGGCATCTTCTGTTACTCACTTGCTCGCAGTCTTCTGCACTAAAGTGCCTTCCTCCTATTCCCTTGTCGATCTTCTCCTCCTTACCAGAACACTGTCTGTCTGTCTGTTTGTCTGTCTTACCTTCCATTCCTTGTACCCTCCTTCTTTCAGCTGAGAGAATAATAAATAATAAATAATAATAATAATAATAAATATTTATACACCGCCCTTCCCGGTTTAAAAACTGGGCTCAGTTTTTAACTGACAGCTAACAGCAAATACAGTGGTACCTCGGGTTAAGTACTTAATTCGTTCTGGAGGTCTGTTCTTAACCTGAAACTGTTCTTAACCTGAAGCACCACTTTAGCTAATGGGGCCTCCTGCTGCCACCGCCGCACGATTTCTGTTCTCATCCTGAAGCAAAATTCTTAACCTGAGGTACTATTTCTGGGTTAGCGGAGTCTGTAACCTGAAGAGTCTGTAACCTGAAGCGTATGTAACCTGAGGTACCACTGTATAAAAGACTGATTAAAATACGACTTAAAAACAGCATAAAACAGCATAAAACATAAAATGCAGCATCAATATCAACAAAATTCTGAAATTCAGGGGTTATTTTCTTGGCGGGAAACAAAACAACAAAAACCCAGTCAGTAGACACCGAATGATCACCAGGGCTAACTGGCCAAGTTGGTCCTACTAGGGCCAGCAAGGAGACCAGGGAGACCCAAGCCTCAGGCCAGCCCCACCTGTGGGGTCGTCATCCTGCACCCCCCCAACTCCATTTAAAAACCTCTCAATTGTTTTCTCCCCAATGCAGGGACCACGGAGCGCGTGTGTCTGGTTCAAGGCACAGCAGAAGCCCTCAACGCCGTCCACAACTTCATTGCCGAAAAGGTCCGGGAGATCCCCCAGTCTGTAGTGAAGCCGGAATCGGTCAATATCCTGCAGCCTCAGACAACTATGAATCCTGACCGAGCCAAGCAGGTGAGCGAGCGCGGGAGCCAATCGCTTGTTTGTTAGAGGGGTTGGGAGCTGGGAGCTTCAGGTAAAGGGACCCCTGACCATTAGGTCCAGTCGTGGCCGACTCTGGGGTTGTGGCGCTCATCTCGCTTTATTGGCCGAGGGAGCCGGCGTACAGCTTCCGGGTCATGTGGCCAGCATGACTAAGCCGCTTCTGGCGAACCAGAGCAGTGCACGGAAACGCCGTTTACCTTCCCACCGGAGCGGTACCTATTTATCTACTTGCACTCTGACGTGCTTTCGAACTGCTAGGTTGGCAGGAGCAGGGACCGAGCAACGGGAGTTCACCCTGTCGCGGGGATTCGAACCGCCGACCTTCTGATCGGCAAGCCCTAGGCTCTGTGGTTTAACCCACAGCGCCACCCGCATCCCTGGGAGCTTCAGAGCGCCCCTTAAAAATTATAAGGGAATCTTGGCTGGATCAGGCCAGCCTGTTTCAGAGGCAGGGAACCTTAGTCCTGGGTGCCAAATGTGGCAGCCCCCTGGGATCACCTATCTGAGGGTTGCCATAGCTCACAAAGCGAAAATCCAGACAGAAAGTCGTTGACTTTTTCGGGCAGAGCTGTTGAGCTTTTTAGTTTAGTGATGGCCGAAGCTGACCAAATGAGCTATTTTTAAGGAAATCATCGCAAATTTCAAGGAGTTTCAAGGAAATTCACTAGATTCCCTCTCCCCACACCCACCGCTGACCCTAATTCACACCCCAAGTATTTTTTGCCTGGCTGGAATGTGTCCTTCAACTCTGACAACAGCCCTTGCTTGTCTGGATTAAGGAAAGAGGGTTGTTTGTGTGTGTGTAGAAATCAGCTTACTGTGCAAAGGTGAAAATGGACATTCCTTTCCCCTTCCACTGTTGGCTCTGGCCCCACCCAGACTTTCATGTGGCCCTCAAAAGGTCGTCTAAAAGAAAATTCGGCCCTCAGGCTTTTCCACGTTCCCTAGCCCCAGTCTTTCCCCACATCCTCTGTTTGATAGTTCCCACCAGAAGAAGAACACAAAGGCAACAGACCATCCCCAGCAGCTGGTATTACATTTCATTTCACTTTTAATTTGTACGCCCCCTTTCTGTGTTGCTATACGCAAGGCGGAGTATATACAAGCTGGAGAAACAAGAACGATCACAAGCCATAAGGCAATGTGGTCCAATACAAGAAAAGCCACAATGAAAACATAACTTTACAATACGCAATGTCTATCGGATTAAAGCCATGTTGAGTAGTCCATTGGAACAGAACAGAACCCAGTGGCATCAAATATCAGCATGTCATAAACGGAAATTCATTCTTCGCCACTGCGATAAATAATTGCTAAACTGTGATCAATAAAACAGAACGGCAAGTCACAATGCATAAAATACCACAATGCGTACAAAACCATGTAAAAAGATCAAATTGAGAAACAAAGACACACAACTTAGAAAATAATAATAATAATAATAATAATAATTTTAAAATCCCTGAACTCTATAAGACCCAGATCTGCCATCCCGTCTCTACTCGGAACTGACAAGGCCATCCATTGAGCCTTCATGGACTGATAAAGGACAGGGCTCTGTTTATACAGCTGGGTCATGAGTTTGCACAGCTCAAGCTAATGGATTTTAGTTAATGGATTCTTGAAGAAGCAAATTTGGAATTTTGGGGCCTGGTTCGGGTGACTGCACAGTCATGTTTGGGTAACCTGTTCCTTCAACAATGCGTAAAATACCACAAAGCATACAAAACCATGTAAAAAGATCAAATTGAGAAACAAAGACACACAACTTAGAAAATAATAATAATAATAATAATAATAATAATAATAATATCCCTGAACTCTCTTCCTAGCTGCTTCCGCCATTCATAAGAATAGTCATGGTCTGGGAAAGGTTCTCAGGTTCTGGAGGGTGGGGCAAGGCAGGTGGAAAAAGCCATTGCATTATGGCCAGCAAAAAGTCTTTCTCCACAGAGAGAGTATTTGCAGTGGTAGAGGTTCCATTCTGAATATAGAGGTTCCATTTAGCAGTAATAGCTAATGGCTATGTGACAGAACCCAATCTCCGTAAGTGTCTGAGCCTTCTTCTTCGGCTGATGTGATGATATATATTTTTTTTGGGGGGGGGGAATGAGGTTGGGTCAAATAGCAGCGAAGGGCTTTCTACCTGAGCACGTGGGAAACTTGAAATGACAGTTCGAAGGAGTTCCGAATTTGGTAAATTTCTTAAAACTGAAAATTTTGCCGTGACTCTCAGTCACATTTCACATTGGGATTCTACTTGCCCATTTTTTGGGGGGGACGGGACGCTTCTTTAACAATATCAATTCCAGTTGAATTTAAAATGTAAGGTACATAGGCTTCTGCCTTGAATTTTAGCACTCATTATTGTTCGCCTTTGCAAAATTGCCCAGGCGAAGAACAATGAAAACATTAACAACCTGAAAGCAAAATGGATCTATTTGTTGTTGTTTTTTAAAAAAATCTATCATCTATCTATCATCTATCTATCATCTAGCTAGCTATCATCTCTCTCTCTCGCTCTCTCTTTCTCTCTCTCTCTCTAATCTATAACTATCAATCATCTATCTATCTATCATCTATATATCTATCTATCATCTATCTGTCTATCATCTAGCTAGCTATCATCTCTCTCTCTCTAATCTATATCATCTATCTATCTAATCTATCATCTATATCTATCTATCTATCATTCTCTCTCTCTCTCTCTCATCTATCTATCTATCTATCTATCTATCTATCATCTATCTATCTATCTATCATCTAGCTAGCTAGCTATCATCTCTCTCTCTCTCTAATTTATATCTATCTATCATCTATCTATCATCTATCTATCGATCATTCTTTCTCTCTCTCTCTCTCTCTCTCTCTAATCTATAACTATCAATCATCTATCTATCTATCTATCTATCTATCATCTATATCTATCTATATCTATCTATCTATCTATCTATCTATCTATCTATATCTATCTATCTATCATCTATCATCTATCTATCTATCATCTATCATCTATCATCTATCATCTATCATCTATCATCTATCATCTATCATCTATCATCTATCTATCTATCTATCTATCTATCTATCTATCATCTATCATCTCTCTCTCTCTAATCTATATCTATCTATCTATCTAATCTATCTATCTATCTATCTATCTATCTCTATATATCTATATCTATATTATCTATCAAGGGTGCTGATAGCATGCAGGAAGACTGCATTTATATTTTCCCCAATAGACCCTTTCCTCTTAACCAAGGGAGGGTTTGGCTAAAAAGAGCCCTGGTGGGGGTGGGGGTGTCTTTCTCCCACTTGAGGTTGTTGTGTGTGCAAGAGGCTGGCCCGTCCGACAGCTTTCCATTGTCAGTCGGTTGTGCCGTTGCCATGGCACAGCGAAGGGAAGGTGGCTTTGGGCTGAAAGCTGAAAACAAGGATTATGACAGAGGGAGGGTTGGGCGGGGGGGGAGGATATGGAAGGGAGAGTTTATGTGGCTGGTAGAATAAGGGACAATGAAACAGGAATCCTGTCACCCCTGACAGCCGAGGAAGGGTCTTTTCTTGAGAAGCTGGGAGGGAATGCCTCCCCCACCCACAAAAAAATGTTCACATCTGTCTTATGCCAAGTCGGGCTAGCCCAGCAAGCAGAGTTGAGACTAGAAGACGCCTGGTTTTATTTGCTTATTTCATTTGAAGCATTTCATGCGCCTTTGAGAAGGTTCTCAGGGGTGGCTGACGAACACAATGATACCCGGTTTGTTTGGCGTCGAACATATAGGAAAAGAAAAGAAAAGAAAATGCAACTAAATGAAAATGAAAATGAAAATTTTCATGCAAAATAGAAATGTGAGCTGTTTCATTCACAACCCCTAGAAAAAATAATGGCTATTACTGGTGCTGGTGGATAGTAAAATTATTTCAAATGTTTGTTTTAAATATCAGGGTATTGTCCTTGATGTCTTAGGATAGTCTCATTTAAAGCTGAACAAGTACCGTATTTTTCGCCCTATAGGACACACTTTTTCCCCTCCAAAAATGAAGGGGAAATCTGTGTGCGTCCTATGGGGCGAATACAGGCTTTCGCTGAAGCTTGGAGAGCGAGAGGGTCGGTGCGCACCGACCCTCTCGCTCTCCAGGCTTCAGGAAGCTATCAGCAAGCCTGGGGAGCCCGCGGGAGTTCCCACAGGGCTCCCTACGCTGCGGATAGCAGCCTGCCGCCCGGCGCACAGGGTACCCTGAAGCAGAGCGCCCCACGCTTCAGGCAGACATCGGCCAGCCCCACAAGCTCGGGGGACAACGGGGAGGCACAGCGCCGCCATCCCGCTGTTCCCCGACCTGGTTTGGTTTCCCCGACCTGCTTTTGGGGGGGAATTAAAGGGGGGGAAAATTTCCTTTATTTTCCCCCCAAAAAACTAGGTGCGTCCTATGGGACGGAGCATCCTATGGGACGAAAAATACGGTAACTAAGATTTTTAAAAAGAAAAGGATTGAAGGCCTTGACAGAAATGGCAAAGGAGGGGAAACGGGCTCAGTGTCCTTTGAACACATAAAGTCTCTGGTTTAATTTCCAGCAGCACCTCACCAAGTAATAATAATAATAAAAATAAATTTTATTTATATCCCGCCCTCCCCAGCCGAAGCCAGGCTCAGAGCGGCTAACAACAGTAAAACGATAAAACATTCTAAAATCATTTCATTATAAAATTAATTCCAATCAAATTAATGGCAACCATTGGGCTAGAAGTTCTGTGAGGATTGCCAAAGGAGGGAGTCAGGCTGTGCCCTGGCCAAAGGCCTGGTGGAACAGCTCTGTCTTGCAGGCCCTGCGGAAAGATGTCAAGTCCCGCAGAGCCCTAGTCTCTTGTGACACCAGATCAGTAGGGCTGATCATGTCTCCTTTGAAAGCCTGCAGGAGAGCTGTTGCCAGTCAGAGAAGACAGCACTGGGGTAGATGGAGCGCTGCAATTTGACATGGTCCCTAGGAGAGGTCAGCCTAATGACTAGAGCAGAAGCAGCAAGGCGTCAGTCTGAACGGCTACCTGCAAGGATGTCACAGCAAGGATTTCATGAGAGACTAATTTTAGCACTAAAGTATCTGGAAATAGGACACAAATTGGGGCAGGTCGCTCAGAGTGCTTATGAGTTAAACTAGCGGATGACGACTGATGCCCTTCCAAAGGTAGAAGGGATGCGAGACTTCCGGGGTGGCGCCTCCGGAAAATGGCGGAATTCCCTTCAAGTTGAAGGGAACCCGCTGCACGGAAGCTTGGGTCCTACCGCTACGGCGCAGCGGGGACCCTTAAAACCCACAGGCGGATGAAGCCTGTGGACGTGGGACTCAGCGGGCACCGTGAGCGCTCTCTCCCCTTGTACAGGAGCCCGGTAACGGGCTCCGGAGTGGGAGGTGCGTGGTGCTGTGAGTCGACTGCTTCTTTCGTGCAGCAAAGCCGCACTGCCGTTTCCGGAGAGCGCTGCCTTTTTCCTGGGACAATTTGGCATCTAAAACATCTATCCGTGAGTACCTGATCTTGGAAGAGCTGAATTACTTTTAAGACTGGTGAATAAATAAATAAATTGGACTTGAAATTGAATTTAATTGGGACTTGGAATGAGAAGGTCTAAGCAGGAAGTCAACCTTCCGTTCTTTTGTTACGTGAAGAAAGCAAAGACAAAATATACTAAAGCTTGAAAATTAAATTCTGAGAGAACTAGAATTCAACACCTAAGATTTCTGAACCCCCCCTTTGACTGCAGGAGAAGAAGGGGGTTGTTTTGGACTTTATAACCCTGCGGAAGTGAGTTTAAAACAAAGTAATTTTCCACCGCCCTGAACCAGGAGCGGGCTGTCAGAACTGACGTCTTGAAGCTTGTCCAGCTCGACAGATAGTTAAAAGAAAGGTAACATTGTGACTCTACTGTTGCCTCTTGAATTTTGAAGGGGGGAACTTTGGATAAAGTGTATCTGGAAAAGAAAGACTGTTGCTGATGATTTTCTCCGTTATAAAAAAAAAGGAAAAAAAAAAGGTTTTCCCTCTAGTGGGATTTAGTGAAACTGCAACGCAGAGAGCTTAAAAGTGAAGGACTATAATTGTGGGAAAGAATTTTCTTTGACCCTGAAGGACAATGCTTGTACAAAGGCTTGAACAAATGTTCCTGGAAGGTTTTTCAAAACTAAGTGCCCAGCTGGACCAGATGCGTCAGGAGACGACCTTGATGACGGAAGTTACCAGAGCACAGCAGCAAGTAAATGGAACTCAGTTAAAATATCTACAAGTATATGAACCTGCTGTAGTGATGGAGGCTTCAGAGATGGAGGGACCTTTGGACCGGCAGGATCAGCCTTTGAACTTGATAAATGAACTTGGGATAAATCAGATTCGGAAAGATGAAATGTGGTTAGATTTGGAAATGGGGGATGGATTGACCCCCTTTATATGGTTATCTGGACTTTCCGAGTCTGGTGATGGGCCATCAGAGGATTGGAGTAGTCGGAGCCTCCAAGTTTCAAGGAAACTTGAAGTGGTATTATCTGCTGTCTGGCTTGGACAATGGGCATGGGATGGACTTGTTGCAAAGGGTCAAAAGTATCTTTCTGCTGGAGTACCCACGACTGAAAGGGAAACATCAAGAAGAGCTGCGAAAGGGGCAAGAAAGAGATTTGAGGGCCTCGGACACGAGACAACCAGGTTAAGGAGCCGGACTATTGAGGTTAAAAGGACTGACAATCCCGGGTCCAGGGGAGGGGCGCTGGAAGTTGACTGGATTGTGTCTGACTTATTATCTTATTTTATTTTTCTATTTTTCAATATTGGGAACGTTCATAAATGTTTGAAAGATGTTGAATGAAACTATATGGCTTAAGTAAGGATTGGTAAATGATTTGCAAAAAGGTAATGATGTAAGAATTTGGTAAATACTGAATATAAGCTTTGAGTTTTAAAGTTTTTATATGACAAGAGGGAAAGTAGAATAAGGAAATGTAATGATAGAATGTTATGAAAAAACAGAAAGGATTTGCTGTAAAAATTAAAAATTAAGAAACAAGAGAGGGAGGAGGAGGAAGTCTAGAAAGGAAGTTAATAGAGATCGTAAATGATTTTATACTTTTGTTTTTCTTTTTTTCTTTTTTTCTTTATGGTTGGTTTTTTTCTTTTTTATTTCTTTATCGTTTTTGCTTTTTGTATTTTCAATTTTTTTGGAAATTTTTGTTGTTATTCTTTGAAAACTTAATAAATATTAATTAAAAAAAAAAAAAACAAAGGTAGAAGGGATGCTTCTGTCTGGGGGTCTACAAATTTGGCCGGGCCATTGCGGCCAACCCCAGATTACTGGTCAGCAGAACACTACACCCCTCCCCAAATATTTGGCAGCCTTGTTCCTGGTTACAGTCGTAACTTGGTTTCCGAACAGCTTAGTTCTTGAACGTTTCGGCTCCCGGACGCCGCAAACCCGGACACCAGAGGTCCTCTGGCTGGGTCGGGATGACATGGGGTTGGGGAACCAACTTCCATCTCTTGCGGGGGCTCACTTAGTGCCAGCGCCTTCTGTCAAGAGCTTGGGTGTAACCTTCAACGCCTCCCTTTCCATGGAGGCGCAGGTTGCAGCCACAGCAAAGGTGGCATTTTTCCATCTCCGCTGTATTAAGCAGTTGGTCCCTTACCTCTCTCGCCCTGACCTAGCCACTGTGATCCATGCGATGGTCACCTCCAGGCTTGATTATTGTAACTCGCTGTACGTGGGGCTGCCCTTGAAGCTGACCCAGAAACTCCAGCGGGTGCAGAATGCCGCGGCGAGGCTCCTTACGGGGTCCTTGCTGCGGGATCACATTCATCCAGTGCTTTACCAGCTGCACTGGCTCCCGGTGGAGTACAGGGTCAGGTTTAAGGTGCTGGTTTTGACCTTTAAAGCCCTATGCAGCCTAGGACCCTCGTACCTATGGGACCGCCTCTCCTGGTATGCCCCGCGGAGGACCTTAAGGTCCACAAATGACAACAGGTCCCAAGTCGCAAGGTGGTTAGATTGGTCTCAACTAGGGCCAGGGCCTTTTCAGTACTGGCCCTGACTTGGCGGAACGCTGTGTCACAAGAAACTAGGGCTCTGTGGGACTTGACATCTTTCCTCAGGGCCTGCAAGACAGAGCTGTTCTGCCTGGCCTTTGGTTTGGACTCAGTCTGACCCTTATGTTTTCCCTCCCCTATGGTTTTGATCCATGGGCTACTTTTAAAATGAGGCTGCATTTTAAATTGTTTTGTTTTGTTTTTTCCCCCTATTATGTTTTTATTGTAATTTTAATGGTGTTAGCCGCCCTGAGCCCAGTTCTGGCCGGGGAGGGCGGGGTATAAATAAAAATTATTATTAATTATTATTATTATTATAGATAGATAAGGAAGGAAGGAAGGAAATTGTCCTCTTCAATAGTGCCTTCAAAGCATGCTGTCACCTGGAGATAGTCCAGGCATCCCCAAACTTACCCATCCAGCTGCTTTGGGACCACAGTTCCCATCATCCCTGACCACTGGTCTTGTTAGCTAGAGATGATGGGAGTTGTAGTACCAAAACAGCTGGAGGGCCGAGTTTGGGGATGCCTGAAATATTCCATCATCTGTCTCCCCAGCTTCAAACTCCTTTCTTTTTGCACTCATTGCATTTGTGCCTGGGGTGGGGGCAGCGGGGGGCACATCCAGTGATGACCAGAATTGTGGAGCTTTGTTAATGTCATCTGGGTCAGGTTTTCTGCCCCCAGGGGTACTCTTTGACCACAGGAGTGTCTTCAACATCTATTTTCAGAGCTGGCCGGGTCCTCCTGCCTGGAGGAGACAATTCACAGATTACATGGCTTTCCCCTGAGTTCGGGTAAAGCACCCGGCTGCCAGCAGAGAAAGACTTTCTCCTCTGGTTCCCTGCTCTCTCCCAGTCCCCTTGCCACTAATCCAGCGCCCTTGCTCTCTGGGTTGGACGAGGCGACGGATATCGGGAGGTGCCTGTCGCTCGATTACATAAGAGCATTTCCTTGCTAAATCTGGACGGCTTTCTGCTTTCTCGGCGGTTATATAAAGGCATTGGGGTGGCCGGGGTTGAGAAGACCCCTCCCTCTCCGTCAGAAAGCCCCTGAAGCCATCTCTGCGAACACCCACTCTTCCACCCCCTCCCTCTCCGCCCCATGTGCCAACTTTCCTCGCATCATCTTCAGCTGCTGCCTTCCAACCGTTCGGCAAAGTCTGTTGAAATCTCCAAAACCAGAGCAGGCTTTCTGGAAAGGAAGCCCAAAATCAGGGGTCAGCAAGCTTTTTCAGCAGGTCCACTCTCTCTTAGACCTTGTGGGGGACCGGACTATATTTTTTTGGGGGGGGGGAATGAACGAATTCCTATGTCCCGCAAATAACTCAGAGCTGCATTTTAAATAAAAGCACACATTCTGCTCATGTAAAAACACCAGGCAGGCCCCACAAATAACCCAGAGATGCATTTTAAATAAAAGGGCACATTCTACTCATGTAAAAACATGCTGATTCCCGGACCCTCCATGGGCCGGATTGAGAAGGTGATTGGGCCGGATCCGGCCCCCGGGCCTTAGTTTGCCTTTGTTGTTGTTGTTTAGTCGTATAGTCGTGTCCGACTCTTCGTGACCCCCTGGACCAGAGCACGCCAGGCACTCCTGTCTTCCACCGCCTCCCGCAGTTTGGTCAAACTCATGCTGGTAGCTTCAAGAACACTGTCCAACCATCTTGTCCTCTGTCGTCCCCTTCTCCTTGTGCCCTCCGTCTTTCCCAGCATCAGGGTCTTTTCCAGGGAGTCTTCTCTTCTCAAGAGGTGGCCAAAGTAGTGGAGCCTCAGCTTCAGGATCTGTCCTTCTAGTGAGCACTCAGGGCTGATTTCCTTAAGAATGGATAGGTCTGATCTTCTTGCAGTCCATGGGACTCTCAAGAGTCTCCTCCAGCACCATAATTCAAAAGCATCACTTCTTCGGCGATCAGCCTTCTTTATGGTCCAGCTCTCACTTCCATACCCATGCTCAAAATGCTTGTCTTGTTCTCCCACACATTTCATGGCATGTCCTCTCCTTCCTTGCCCCTCGCTCTTTATTTTGGGGTATAATTCTGCATAAGAACGGAACGCGGCATTGCCTGCACAGCTACTCATAATTAATCTCCCTTTCGTTGTTATTATTTTAATGAGAAAAGGCAAGCTTCTGGATTTCATGGTTGTGAAAATCTGTTAGGTTGGTTGGGAGCAGCGCCTGTAGGAATCTCAGAAGCCAGTGGAGTTACTGAATAAAATTTTGGGAGAGGGCCTTAACTCCTTGGAAGATTACTTATACCCCGCCCATCTGGCTGGGTTTCCCCAGCCACTCTGGGCAGCTTCCAACAAAATATTACAAACACGATAAAACATCAGACATTAAAAACTTGCCTAAACAAGGCTGCCTTCTAAAAGTCAGATAGTTGTTTATTTTCTTTACATCTGATGGGAGGGTGTTCCACAGGGCGGGTGCCACTACCGAGAAGGCCCTGTGCCTGGTTCCCTGTAACCTCACTTCTCGCAGTGAGGGAACCACCAGAAGACCCTCGGCGCTGGACCTCAGTGTCTGGGCTGAACGATGGGGGTGGAGATGCTCCTTCAGGTATATTTGGCCGAGGCCGTTTAGGGCTCTAAACACTTTGAACTGAGCACCAACAATTTGAATTGTGCTCGGAAACCTACTGGGAGCCAATGTAGGTCTTTCAGGACTGGTGTTATATGGTCCTGGTGGCTGCTCCCAGTCACCAGTCTAGCTGCCGCATTCTGGATTAGTTGCAGTTTCTGGATCACCTTCAAAGGTAACCCCACGCAGAGCGAATTGCAGCAGTCCAAGCAGGAGATAAGTAGAGCATGCACCACTCTAGTGAGACAGTCTGCGGGCAGGGAGGGTCTCAGCCTGCGTACCAGATGGAGCTGGCAGACAGCTGCCCTGGACACAGAATTGACCTGCGCCTCCATGGACAGCTGTGAGTCCTAGGCTGCATATTTCATGTAGGTTCCAGAATTTGATTCTCAAGGGGAGTCAGAATTCTGATTCTCCTTTCCCCTCTTTTCTTCTTAGCTCAGAGCCCTGGCTGTAAGCAGAGCAGGTTAAGAGCAGTGGACTCGTAATCTGGTGAACTGGGTTCACTCCCCCGCTCCTCCACATGCAGCTGCTGGGTGTCCTTGGGCTAGTCATACTTTTTTGAAGTCTCTCAGCCTCACTCACCTCACAGAGTGTTTGTTGTGGGGAAGGAGGGGAAAGGAGATTGTTAGCTGCTTTGAGACTCCTTAGGGTAGTGATAAAACGGGATATCAAATCCAAACTCCTCTTCTTCTTCTTCTTCTTCTTCTTCTTCTTCTTCTTCTTCGTGTGTGTGTATGCCTCAGTTTCTCCTAAGGCTAGGATAAAGGTAAAGGGACCCCTGACCATTAGGTTCAGTCGTGGCCGACTCTGGGGTTGCGGCGCTCATCTCGCTTTACTGGCCAAGGGAGCCGGCGTCCAGCTTCTGGGTCTTGTGGCCGGCATGACTAAGCCGCTTCTGGCAAACCAGAGCAGTGCATGGAAACGCCGTTTACCTTCCCGCCGGAATGGTACCTATTTATCTACTTGCACTGGTGTGCTTTCGAACTGCTAGGTTGGCAGGAGCAGGGACCGAGCAACGGGAGTTCCCCCCCATCGCGGGAGTTCGAACCGCCGACCTTCTGATTGGCAAGCCCTAAGCTCAGTGGTTTAACCCACAGCGCCACCCGCCACCGGCTAGGTTGCCTGGAGCCAAATCCAGGCTGTCTCACTTTAACTCCTGGATAGCTCAGTTGGTTAGCGCATCGTGGTGATAATGCGGGATATATGGGACAGGTGTATTATCATTGCATTACAGGAGCTTTGATTCGATGATCCCTGGGGTCCCTTCCTATGAATCCTTCTACAAATATATGAATGCAATAACTCCAACTCATAAAAGCACAGGGAAAGAAACCACTGGTGACCTAGAACAGTCTCACGCTGGGTGCTCCTGGAAGAATCTGTGTTGCCCCTCCTTCAGGAGCTATTAGGGTAGTTGGGTGAACACACCCACCCTGAACTTGCTGGACCCAACTTTTCCTGAGAGCAGATGAAGACCAGCATTTGAATGTGAGGGTTGGGGGCTGTTGCTCTCCGTGGTGCTGAATAATCTCCTTCCTTTGCACTGATAGACTACCGGTATATGCATTTTTCCCCCCTGGATGGCAAATAAGGTCACGGCGGGGAAAGTTCATAAATACATAAATAAGGAGGGGTGGAGTTTGTGGAATTAATGGCAGGCGAGTTAGGACTTCAGTCTTTAGGAAAGCATAGAAAACCACAATGGTGCGTTCCTTGTAGAGCTTTCATCAGATTCTGAAGGTGAATCTCTTTACCGTGGCCGCTGAGGTATATTTGCAGGTTTTAAAATGCAAATTGTTCTAACTGATTTGAATATTATATTATTATTATTATTATTATATTGTTGTAACCGACTCTTGGGACCTTATGGTGATGATTTTTTAAAAATAGTTTTCATTTGATTTTTCAAATATAGATTCATAACAAAACCAAACACCTCTCCCTATATAGAGATTTCTCTGAATCTCGAGACCTCCCCCATGTCAGCGTTTTCAACCGCATATAACATCAAATCTATATTTTATATCCATCCATATTCTCCATAGAGTTTGTTACATTACAAGTGAGATTAAAATCCTGCTCATGTTTTCATCTGCTTACAGTGGTCTCTTAAATAAATTATAATGGTTTTCCATTCTTTCTTGAAGTTTTTCTCTTCTTGGTTCCTGAGCTTTCCGGTCAGTTTTTGCCATTACGGCGTAATCCAGCGGCTTAGTTTGCCATTCCTCTTTACTTCTTTCCATCTCTTACTTCTGTGTTTTAACTCTGTGGTCCCTCTGCCATTCTGCTAAGGTAGCCTTGCAGCCTGTGGAACCTAAGCAGTTTGAAGGCCCTATAGGTGGGAAAGCAGGAATATACGGTATATTAAGGTTACCAGATTTTTTTCAAAGAATCCGGGGACGCCTTTTTTTTTTTTTTGAAAAGAGAAAAAAAAGTTATTTAAAAATAATAATTAAGAAGTAATGCCTTCTCTGCTGTGGTCTCCTCTGTCGCGCGGCCTTCCTCTGGGCCCCGGCCTGTTCTCTTGGTGCGCTAGCCGCCATGGAGTAGGCTCGGGTCAGGCCTGGGTTCGGCCACGTGTCCTTGCCCTCCTGGTGCTCTCCAACCTCTCCTCCTCAGCCGCGGCGGCACAGCAAGGTCGGGGCTCCCCTCTTTTTCTCCTTCCTCTTGCTCTCTCTGCCTTCTCCTTCTCCTCTCCTCCTTCTCCCTGCATCGGCTCCAGGGTTTTCCTGGCCCCGGAGCGCCGCTGGGCAGTCGGCCGGGTGGCTGGGTGCTCTCACTCCCAGCTCAATTTGGATTGTGGGGGGTGTGTGTGTCAGCAGTTCCCCCAGTTGATGCACCGGGCGTCCCCGGTTCCCCCTTAGCAGTGGCGGCGGCAGCGGCAGTCTCAGCAGCCCAGAGCCAGCCTGGTAGCAGAGTTGGCTCCGGCTGGTTTCAGGAGCTTCGTCAACAATGTTTAGGCAACACGATGACCATATACATATATAATAGACAATCTATAGAATTCCTTCAAACAATAACAAGTTCAAAATGAAAGCTTAGACTCAAAGTCTCTGAAAGTCTTTAAATGAAGTGAGGTACCAAACTTTGTACGAGGAAAGATAAGCTGTGAAGCTTTGTGTATTCAGCAAATATAATGTCCAACACTGAACAGAGATTCCGGATATTGACTAGTGTTTTGTAGATCTTTGTCAGTGTGGTGGGAGAATATAGAATTGTTTCATAAACTGAAAATAAAATTTTATAGACGATGACCTGCATGACATATCACTTTACAAAAATTATAAACTGTGATACAAACAGTAATGAAAAAGAGTACATACCTCATCTTATTTCGTGAATGAAAATATCAAATGCTGTGGAACAGTGCTCATGTAATAATGTAGTCACTGCTACTAACAATATTTTTTGAGAAACATATAAAGCCGACTCCAGGTGATGCTAATAACAATGAGGTTGAGTTTAAAGGTACAGTGCTTCAAGAGCTGCCCACTGCCATGGCGCCTGCCATGTTCCCTTGCCGGAAGTCCCCATATGATGTGTCTTGTGCCGTTGAACCCATCACACAACATTCATTCCCTACTAATAAATCTGCAACACTTAAAATATAAATCCGGGGACATTCCGGGGACGGATGATAGATTTGTAAATCCGGGGACTGTCCCCGGGAAATGGGGACATCTGGTAACCATAATATATATAGGTAAAGGTAAAGGGACCCCAGACCATTAGGTCCAGTCGTGGCCGACTCTGGGGTTGCGGCACTCATCTCGCTTTATTGGCCGAGGGAGCTGGTGTACAGCTTCCGGGTCATGTGGCCAGCATGACTAAGCCGCTTCTGGCGAACCAGAGCAGCGCACGGAAACGCCATTTACCTTCCTGCCGGAGTGGTACCTATTTATCTACTTGCACTGCTGTGCTTTCGAACTGCTAGGTTGGCAGGAGCAGGGACCGAGCAACGGCAGCTCACCCCGTCGTGGGGATTCCAACCGCCGACCTTCTGAGTCCTAGGCTCTGTGGTTTAACCCACAGCGCCACCCGCGTCCCTGTAATATATATACCTGTACATATAAATGAAACCTCAAACTCCTCCTCTTCTTCTCTCGTTTCCCCCCAATGCAGGCCAAGGTGATTGTTCCCAACAGCACAGCCGGGCTGATCATTGGCAAAGGCGGGGCCACGGTCAAGGCCATCATGGAGCAGTCTGGAGCCTGGGTGCAGCTGAGCCAGAAGCCTGAGGGCATCAACCTCCAGGAACGCGTGGTGACCATCAGCGGCGAGCCCGAGCAGATCCACAAGGCGGTGGACATCATCGTGCAGAAGATCCAGGAGGACCCGCAGAGCAGCAGCTGCCTCAACATCAGCTACGCCAACATCGCTGGCCCTGTGGCCAACTCCAACCCCACCGGATCCCCTTACGCCAACTCCACGGACGTGCTGCCCGCCGCTGCGGCCGCAGCCACCGCTTCGGGCCTGCTGGGCCACACCAGCCTCGCCGGGGTGGGAGCGTTCCCGGCCGCCCTGCCGGGCTTCTCTGGCAGTGACCTTTTGGCCATCAGCACGGCTCTCAACACCTTGGCGAGCTATGGATACAACACCAGCTCTCTGGGGCTCGGCCTCAACTCAGCCGCCGCCTCCGGAGTGCTGGCCGCCGTGGCCGCCGGCGCGAATCCAGCCGCCGCCGCCGCCGCCAACCTCTTGGCTTCCTACGCCAACGAAGCCTCCACCAGTACCACCACCCCAGCCGGCGCCGTGGGGGCCTTCACGTTGGGTTCCCTAGCCGCTGCCACCGGGGCAGCCAATGGCTACTTGGGGACAGCCTCTCCACTGGTGGCCAGCTCCTTCTTGGCCACAGAGAAGCTGGTGGAAAGCGCCAAAGATATGGTGGAGATTGCCGTTCCGGAGAACCTAGTGGGCGCCATTTTGGGGAAAGGCGGCAAGACGTTGGTGGAATACCAGGAGCTGACGGGCGCCCGTATCCAGATTTCCAAAAAGGGGGAGTTTATCCCGGGTACTAGGAACCGTAAAGTCACCATCACAGGCACTCCGGCCGCTACGCAAGCGGCGCAGTATCTTATCAGCCAGCGAGTAACGTATGAGCAAGGAGTCCGAGCCACCAACCCGCAGAAAGTGGGATAAGAGAAGGCCGGAGGGAAGTCTGGGGGAAGGAGTAGAATTCAAGTCAATTCTTTAATCATTAAAATTGTAACCTACCCAACACCAGCCCCAGTCCAGTGTCCATCTCTCTCTCTTACACACACACACACACACACACACACACACACCCTTCTGCTTGGGAAGCAGCCCAGCATTCGTTTTCCTGGACCTTTATTTTGCCAATGGTGCAACCTGTTTGTGTGTGTGTGTATATATACAGGTATATATACATATATACACACATATATATGTATATATATATGTCGACATTTTCTTTTTGAGTTGATATGGATTTTAATAGAAAAAAAAAACATTTTTGAAGAAAACAAAAAACTCCTCTTTCTTTCCCTCTTTCTTTCCGAGTTTCTTAACCAAGAATCCCGATGGGGGGTGGGGGAGAGATCTGTCTCGTAATGTTTTTCGCCCCCCAACTCCCCAGAGTGTAGATCAACTTCCGAAATCCTTGACGGGGAGCAGGAACCTTGTATCCCTCTTCCGGGCCCACGCAGAGCATCAATCTCTGTGGATGCTCTGTAGATGGGTTTTCAGAATATATAGCTATATATCAAGGGAAGCAGAGATGGGGTTCATATCATGGCACAACGGTTCACAAAGTGACATCTGCCCCATGACTTTGAACTCTGAAATTGATGCAGCTCTTTATCTAATACGCCCGCATTTCGTAGTGAAGCTAAACGTGGCTCATTCTAAGGTGAGGTTGAGGTGTTGGACTGGAATGGGCTCTGCGTTGGGCAAACGGCTTGGTTGAGTTGATAGGCTTTTCCCCCTTTGATTTTCGCTTTCTTGTTTTTGTCCGTTTGTTTGTTTTACAATTATTCTATGCATAGTTTCATTTCGGAGGGGAGGGGGAGCGTGTACGTCCTTTCCCCCCTGTTTATCAGCCCTACTAATCAGAAGAAACAAAACAAAACACAAAAAAAGGCAAGGTAAATTTGTTCAGAAAGTTGTAGGTGAGGGTGCGTTTATCCCTGTTTATACTGAGAATAATTTTTGGTGAGCCGTGAGTCTTGACGGAGCTCTGAGCTTGTGAGCTTGCTCCTCCTGCGAATGGATGAGCGCCAGCGTTGTAAGAGGGGTGACACAAATGTAGAACGGGGTCAAAGTAGCAGGGCCTCGTTTCTGCGGATGCGGAAGTCGCACTCCCATCCCTGTGACAGGTGATTCAAGCTACTTTCTCCCTGGGTGTCGCGAGGCGGCGGCCTCCTTTGATGCGCTTGGCTACTTCCTGTTGTGGCGCCTCTCAGGAATCTTGATTTCTCAGCATCGGGGAGTGCCACTTCCTGTGAGGCTACAATACCCCACATAGGCAAGGCCTCTGTTTTCTTGCATTCTGAGAGCAAGGAGAAGGGAGCTTCCCTCGGTTTCTCGGAGCTTCCCTCGGTTTTGGGGAGCCAAAGTCTTGTTTTCTTTCCAAACGGCTACAAAAGAAAACCACACCCCATCTTTCTCAACAAGTTCACTGCCCTGTTTGATAAAAACCCAGGGGTCGGAACTAGGAAGAGAAGGGCCATTTTGACTCAGCCCTGGGTGCTGCTGTCCAGCCAGGTGTGATTGGCCCATCCCTCAAAGGTGGCACAATTCCTCTTTCCCCTCTGCCTACCCAGTGGAAGCCTGAGGGCCTCCTGAGATGCGTGGAGACAGCTGCCGTTGTCAGTATTAACTCTCTTGAGCAGCCCCTGGAGGAGTAGAACTGGAGGAGAGCCAGTGTGGTGTAGTGGTTAAGAGCGATAGACTTGTAATCTGGGGAACCGGGTTCGCTTCCCCGCTCCTCCACATGCAGCTGCTGGGTGACCTTGGACCAGTCACACTTCTCTGAAGTCTCTCAGCCCCACTCACCTCACAGAGTGTTTGTTGTGGGGGAGGAAGGGAAAGGAGAATGTTAGCCGCTTTGAGACTCCTTCGGGTAGTGATAAAGCGGGATATCAAATCCAAACTCTTCTTCTTCTTCCGAAATAAACTATATGTTGACAAGGGGGCTGTTGAAGGCCTCTTTGGGGCCCCCGCCCAATTGCGGTTTCCCTTCAACCCACTGCCCCTCCCGCTGACCTAACTATAAGCAGTATTACCAGCGGGGAAAAGGGCCTTCCCAGTGACTGGCCCAGTAGGGAACCCAGTTCCCTGGCAGTTCCTGTTTCCGGCGTCCTTGGGACGGTGACAGATGCCGGGCTTGAAACCCGAGAAATGTTGGGGTACGGTTGGCTGCAGCGGCAGTGTGACTCCCCCTTTCTGGGCCCTCATCCCCCCACAACCCGAGTGGCGGCTTTCAGTTTGACAGCCCGATCGCAGGGCTTTCTCTGTGTTTCTCTGGCCCCTTATCCCTCCATATTTGCCGGCCACTCAACGCTGTCGATCACCTTTCCCACCCATTCACTTGCCCTCAGAAGGGCAATAAATAAATCAGGGTTATCTCCCTGCTATGTTTACATATAGGGCTCGCTGCAACCTCTTTAACTCCTGGAGAGGCTGTGACCCTATCTGCTTTTTGAAGGTGCCAGCATTTTAAATAGGAACATCCCTCACCCCCAGCTTTGGTGTCGCGTGTGTGTCTGTGTCATACTCCCTTGTGGGAAGAGCCCAGGGTTTGCCAGAAGGCTGAACAAAACCTGAAGCATATGTGGTGCAATGTCAAACACTGGGTTGCGTCAGTCTTTGTCTTTCTTTTTTTCTTTCTGTTTTCGATTAAAAGGTTGCTTGGAAGTTATGTTTGATGGGGGTAGGGTCCCTGCTGCCGGTTGCTCTGGCGGCGTGGCTGTTTCCCTGTCCCAGAACGGGACGACTTCCTGCGTCCAGTTCTCAAAATGTGAAGTGGATGTCTACCTCGTCACCCGGACCTCACCGTGATGCGGCGTACCTGTGGCACGGCGCACGACTTCCTTTCCCAGCCGCGCAAGGCGCGAGCGATCTTGCAGCTGTCGTGGCTGACGCTAGCCTGTGGTGCGGTAGTATTCGAGGGTGACCTAACTTGAGCATCTCTGCAAACGTTGGCTTGTTTGTCGTAAGGTTGGCGGCAGGAGATTTTCGTGCAGCTGAATTTGCGGGGAAGAATCCTGTTTGGAATGGCTGAGACATTTCCAATTGGGTCAGGAGCCAACTGGGGCATATTTGCGAAGAATCGGGGTGGGGATGGGGACGAGTGAGAGCAATGATGGTGCCGTCTAACCTTCTGGCAGCTTCTCAATGCGCTCATAGCTTTTGTTAGCACAAATATTATCTCTTGCAACCTAGACGTGCAACTCTCCTCCTGACCGCAGCTTTGAGGTGTGGACTTGTGCAATATTTCGCCCCCTGCTAGAAGGGAAACACTTCCTCCCTGGTTCTTTCTGAAGCACGGGGTAAAGTTGGGGGTCGGAGCGGTTGGGAGACTTCTGCACTTTCCCCCACTTTCTCTAGGCACCTAGGTGATTTTGCGCAAGGGACAGGCGAGGCCGGCGCTGGGGCCGACTCTGGCCGAGAGATGGGCCCTGGTCCGGGGAGGCAGGGGACTCGTTGCTTATTAAGTCTCAGTTCTGTTTTCCTTCTTAGATTGAAAGGAGGGTCTTAAGACTCTAAAACCACTAGGGAGCAAAAAAAAACCACAAAAAAACAAAAAACTCAAAATGTGAAACTTAAATACTAAAAAAATAAAATACAAATAAGGAAGCAATATCTATATATAGCATCTTGCACTGATTTTATGGAGGGAGGGAGAGCTGCCACAGCCAGCGTATTATCCGAGAAAGATTTTGCCGGTCAGTGAAAGACATGGCCAGTGACCTAATGCTTCTATTGACACTGGCTGAGATTCCGGGCCGCCCGGGTGGTGTTTTATTCTTCTTAAACGGTGAACAAAATATTGCTGCTGTTTTGCAAGTGTGTTGCATATCAAGACTTTTTGTCGGGTGGGGGTGGGGAGGAAGACGAGGAAATGTTTTTGTGCCAAACTCTTAGTCTGCGTCTTTTTTAATACTATGGATGTGTAAGACAAAAAGGGAAACCCCCGCCCCAGCACCCCTATCGTCCCAATGCTGCAGATATTTTGACAGTGTATTCCAAGGCTGTGATTTCTACTCCTTCCTGCTGTTTCTCCCCCTCCCCTCCCCTCCCGCCCCTCCCTTCTACTATGGGATCTCATGAGCACTTTCGTTATCCAAATTCCGTGCCAAGGAAACCCCAATTCTGCGACAGAGAAAATGTGGATTCTGCAACCTGGGTGAATTATGCTCATGAGACCAGTTTGCATATTTTTTCTTATGCCTCTCCATTTTTTGCAGAATGCCCCCGACTTCTGCTAGCGATGGGGAGGGCCAGGATATTTTGCACTAAAGCACCCCCACCCCAGCCTGGGAAGCTTCCTCAAAACTTCTCTGCTGCTCAGATGCTTTCAATTGCATTTTTGAAGCCATGTGGATCAAAAAGTCCCTTCCCCTTTTTCCTTTCCTTTTCCTAAACGGAAACTGAGATTAAGGAGCTGTGACCAGCATTTTATTCCCGTCCAGAAGTGCCAGTATGGCCCCACGATCATGGCTTCCTGGGGCCACAGGTGCCACGCAGTGTGCATGGCCCTGGCACTGAAATTTGTGGGTGCCCAGGAATTCTGTGGGTGCTTGGGCACCTAGGGCCCTAGGGAATTATTCCCATCTTTCTACAGAATTAAAATAACTCGAGAATCTCCCGGCAAGGACAGCAAACGCCCATCTTGGCTTGTGACTGAGTAGCCCACATTGCCGAGCGTGTTGCAGAATTTTTGTTGCGCCTCGGGAGACGCGGAATACAGTCCCGCCTCTGCTCTCTGAAGTTGCGGAATGCAGTCCGGTCAATGGTAATTTGGATTGCAGAATTGCCTGCTGCAGATTGCTATGATTCTCATTGACATTTTGACTGGAATGAATCCCCTGTCTGTTGGCCCTCAGGCCTCTGTCTGAGGAATCAAGGCGTGCACTCTGCTTGGAGATCCACTGAGCCGAACTGTTTGGATTCCAGCACGGAGAACTCCTAGCACAAGATAAGGATGGCCTGGAGGTTTCTATATGCACCAGGCACTGGCTTTGATTGCAAAAAAGGCTGGGGAACAAATTTGGCTGTCGGCTCACAATTCACTTTCCTTCTTCCACCTAAACATCCCCCTTTTGCATGAGAGAGAGCATCTCCTAGCAACTGGCTCACATGCCCAAAAGTCCGTGAAGCCCTTTCCATTTTATTTTTTGGGGTCTTCTCTGCAAAGGTGAGCTTCTCCATGGGCTCACGGTGTCCTTAACTTGGGGACTCACTTTGGCCAACAGAACTTGCACACAGAGCTCCTTGCTGAGAATGCCCAAATCCTTTTGGTGCTGAGACCCCTCCTTCAGCCAAGTAGCTCTTTCTGCAAAGGTTTCCTGGACCTGGTTCCCCTGAACCAAATAGGAGCTGAGCTGTGCAAGAGCAGGGCCACTGTGCACATCTCCTGTCCATACCGCAAGAGCTAGTGCAGGAGAACTTCTCCAGTAAATTCTTCGCTCCTCCCCACCCCCTTCACTCTTCCCTTTCAAATCCACAAAATGAGTTTTCGTCTTCTTTTATTTGAGACTCTGGAAGGGGTGGGGGGGAGCAACAGGGAACCATTTCTGGCCCCTGCAACTTGGGAATGATTAACTGCAGCCGTCCTCAACCTGGTGCCCCCCAGATGTTTTAGTTGTGGTTGAAAACATCTGGAGGGTACCAGTCTGGGGGATGGATGGATTACTGTATCATACCAGAATGTCTTTTTGGTGGAACAATTAACCATCAAGAATAATACTGACATATCCTGTTTTTAAAAGATGCACTTTCCCTCACATTTTTGAAGTGCCAAACTTTTATTTATACAGAACATGCAGCTATTTAATTTTTTTCTTAAAGGGAGAATTGTTGGGAGGGGTGGGGGGGTGCGTTTTGATATTTTTAAACTTTTTTTTTTAAAAGCAAAGTGTAGAACTTGTCGATGGATCTGAAATCGGGATCCATAGTGGCTTTAAAAACAGAACAACAAAAAAATAAATGTTTCTTTTAAAGAGAGACCTTTGAGGTCTTTACTGCAGCTGTTGGGAACCTCTATAGGTCTTCTGATGCTAATCTGTAGTAGGTGGGATTCCTAAATACTTTGCAACTTCATTCGCGGGGAGCCCAGTTTGTCTTCGGGCTCCTTATTTGGGGGTGGGATATCTGCTCAGTGAAACAGTGTTTGGTTTGGTTTGATTTGGTGAAATCTGGTGAAACACCTTACTGACTTAAGAGCAGGGAAGGGTTCCTTAACTCTGCTTTAGCCGAAACTCCTACCACCTTGTAGATATTGTGGTTTTGCGGTAAGAGTGTAAAAAAATGAGAGGGGGCAGGGTGTTGGTGGGAGGAGACCTTGAAAAACCCATCTTATACTGTAGATTCACACCCAGCATTTTCTGAGCTCTAGCGAATGGTTGAGATCCTTCCTCCAGCAAACCGGGTCATTGTTTCAGGTTGGAAAACATCTCTCTCTTTCTCTTTGGACACCCAGTGGGAACAATTTATTAGTTGAAATTTGTGGGGTTCTAGCTTTGTCCTGCCAAAGTCCTTTCCATTGTTTCCCAGTGGAATTACTTCCTACTCAGCCTATTTCTTCAGAATTAGGTCTTGTGGATTTCGGTGGGACGAACTTTCAGAGTGAATTAGAGGTCCCTGTTGTGGCTGGATGTTCATCTTGGCTGTAGCCGGTGTCTCTCTTGCTGTTTTCTGTGCTGGGGTGTGATTCTGTTCCCCTTCCCGTCCCAAATCCCCTTAAGTCTGACCTGCTTGAGATACAGTTCTCCTGGTCTACCTATTTTGGCCATAACCGTGACTTTGATGGCCAGGAAAGAGGTGGAGGGATCAGTGTCAATGCGTATCTCTGAATGGTTGGGTTTTCTGCCTCCTCTCTCTTCACCAGATTCCACTACCAGGATTTACCAGTACTTCCTGATTTCCCCTTCTTCCCTCCTAATTTTATTAAGTTTCAAAAGCACTGATTCCTGGGTGTTTTGGTCCCTCGACTCCTAATCCTCTCCACACACCCACACTGGTGCTTGTGGGAAGGCCTGCCGTGTCGGCAGCTGAGGTTTGCAAGCTTTCTATGTGCCAAATATGAACCAGACTTTTATGGATTCAATAATGGAAGCGTTCCTGAAAAGGTCAACCATTGGGGGGGGGAGGCGTGGCATGGCTGGACTTTACGGCTGCCCTCCCACCCCAGTCTAAAGAGAAACTCCACTGTCACTGCTGCCCCGTTTTGGGATTACCCTGTGAACCACTGGCAGCAGCTGTCTCAAGCCAAACAGGTGCAGGCAGTGCTCCATGCTTCCGAATCAAAGAAGCAAGAGACAGGTTTGGAAGTTGGGGCAGAAATAATAATAAAAAAAGAGGGGAGAGTTTCCTCTCTTACGAAAAATACTCAGTCTCGAAGGGCCAACGTTCATGTGCATATTTCAGCATTAACATATGCACACACCCTATGCTGGAAATCCAGGAGCAGTGGAGGGGGGGAGCGAGAACCATCTTGTTATCATCTGCTCTCCACTTAACTGTTCCCCTTGCATTTACCATATCACTGTTGCTGTTTTCTTTTCTTCAGTTTCCAGGCAATTGCGTTCCATGAAGGGGGTTTGGTGACGGGATGAGAAGAGGGCAAAGAAAGGGGGAGGGAAGGAACGTGAGGGAAAAGGCTTTCGATAAGGTCGAATGGGAACTTTTTCCAGGTGAAACTCCTCTCCTCTGCTTGTCTGTACATCCCAGTTTTGAGTGCCAAGCCTTCATTTCCCCCCCCTTACGCTCCCCCACCTTCCTCAAAAGCCTTTTTTACGTTGTGTCAAGACACACCCATTATCCGGAGCATCCTTTTCATCCAGCATTTTGACGAGTTCGCACACCACAAAGTTCTATATATAAATATATATATAAGTATATATATATATATTATTATTAAAAAAAAAACTTATCTAAAGCAGCGTGGGACTATTTATACATTGGTTGGCTACCTCCGGACTGCTTTTTCTCAAATCCACCTTCATCCTTCTCAGCATCAAGAACATTTCTAGCGTGTTGTTTTTTCGGGGGACACAGCCTCTCACCTTTCAAAAGTTTGTTTCTTTTTTTCTTTAAAAAAAAAAAGGTCAACTTTTGCTTCATCCGAATTTGGGGATATTCCATCTCGAATTCTCTCGCTGCCGGGGACAGTCACCTTGTTTC